ATGATATTATGCTTATTCGCTGATAATGTAGTTTTCTATAGGCGATAGAATTTTTAAAATCTAATGAGTAATTTTATCTCATAAATAAATATTTGGTCTTAAACTAAGTATTTTGGGGGAGGTTCAGAATCGTACGATTCGCAGGCATACATACTCGTCACGCATTTAAAGTACATACTTATGCAACAACACGATTATTTTGTCAAAAATTGGCATCACCGGATCTGGTAAACCGTTAGTGAAGCCGGAACTGCATCCGGTATCCGGTTTTTCGGGGTTCCAATCTTTAAATCTCCAGTTTCAATGAAAACTTCTAATTTAATGTACCTGCTGAAATTTACAGTACAGACAAGTTCTATTTACAAATAATGTTATTAAGAATTCAGGCAGTCTTGTGTGTTTTTCAACAAACGCAGTTATTCTTCTGAAATAAATACAAATAGCTTTATTATTTGGTTGTAGAAATTTAAACGCACACGACTATCCAGTATTTACGTATCTAGCTAGTGTGTAATTACGTAGATCCACGGGGACAGTATAGAAGTAATATGTATGTATATATATTTTAACAAGGAATTTGGCACGATGGGAGTGTTTCAAACTTGTCTAAACTGCCCTCGTAGTAGTACCCACCACCATTTTCTAAATTAGAAAATATACCTAAAATAAGACTTTCATAATTAGTTTTATTTTATAACAAAGTTTTATTGTCATGGTCCCACACGGGATTTTTAGGTCAGAAACTCTGAATGTCTTTTCAGACATGTCAGCTGGAGGCAGAACCTTATGCTTTTTGTTTTGGTTGTTGTAGTACATACTAAAAATAACTGGAGGCAAGTGTATGTAGTTGGTTCCCATATGTTAGCAGTTTGTCAAACGTCGAGTGGCATTCACCCATCGCCATGTGTCTCAACCACCATGGGTCATGTGGCCAGGTACATGTTTCCTGCTTCTACATTTTTATTGCACAAAGTCATTGTCCTATTCGCGTAGTCTTGTAATGGGCGCACGTTTAATAATAAGTACCCCATTTGGTGAAATTATCAGGCTTATTGTAACAACAGTGGTTAATTATATGTACATATGATAAAGTAAATAGAAAAAGTCTATTGAATAAACTTCCCTACGTGCTCGCCGTCGGCGTCGGTTGCAAATTATTGCCCGCGTCCCACGAAGGGCTAAATTGATTATGTTAATAATGTAAGTAGTTAACGCAAGGGATAACGTATACGTTTTATCTACTTAGATGTCAAACTTTAAAGGCACATCTGCTCTGATTTAGATGCCGTACGGGTTTACACATGCGCACAAAAAGGCGCGGGACCCACGGCTCGCCAGATTAACAATAGTGCCGAGTTCACTATTAATAATAGCACAAACTTTGAGATAAGAAATTGCCATTCTTTCGCTAGAGGTCCCTTCCGAGAGCTCGGCGGCTTTTGTGTTGATTCTAATTTATGTCATGTATTGTTGGTACGGTACCCTCCCCACACACTTCCTTTTGGGGGCTTTGGCCCCGCGCTGGATGTCGAAATTGAATTTGTTGCATCGGCTTATTGAAAATGCTTCGTGCATCTTACTCTCTGCACTTTAATTTTAAATAGTGTCAAATAAAAATTGTTTTTCTACAAAAAAAATAGTGCGATCTCGCAGTTTTAGTTGATAATTCGAGGTCAATGTATCGTTATAATTAGAACAACGATTCAAAGTAATGAAGTGTGTTGAGTAAAAATGAGTTGCACAGTGCTATCTCAATTGATAGAGGAGATTAGTTATGACTTACTTTGTGTCAAGTCTGAGTGTCAAATTTTGTCAAAGAACAGTGGGTAATAATAATGTTGGAATTATTATAATGTCACCGCCAGTGTATCCATTGACATATTTACTAAAAATTTGATGTGAAACTGATAATTAACATTCGTCAACTACAGTTGTGTTCCGTGTACTTGGATCATGGGGGTGTGTGTGTTTTTTTTCTCTATTATTTTAGTTATATTTACAAGTGGTACTTTATGTGTATTGCTTGGTGAGTATGAAAAAAATTCGTAATTTTTTAAGAGAATTTAATTTGAGTAATTGTGTAATATATTTTGTGGAGATAATGTTTTGAAATGTATATGTCAGTACGTAAAATTAACCTCAAAAATATGTATTCGTTGATATTAATCTGTAATGAATTGTTTAACATTCACTTGGCTTTATAAACGACTCCGCATCAAATGTGCGTTACCGGTGGGTGTTATGTATTTATTGAAGTTCTTTTAAAATGTTCTAAACGTAATTTTCTTGCATGCATTCTTTAGACTGATTTTACAATGATAAGCAAAATATGAAGTACAAAGTTGCAGATATATATTTTTGATTTAGTGTTTATAATACGAGTAATTATGGGTTCAATTTCCATTTTGTTTCCTATGTTTGTAATTTAATACTAGATAAAAGAGTACTTAACATGGGATTATATATATACCTGATGTTATTGCAAAACGACGTAATATGTCATAAAGCAAATATCACTATTTTTAACATTGTCAATGGGTATATACTATTAATATATCAAATTGATTGAATTCATTTAAAACCAATTCTTTTCTAATTGGTTTTATTTTTGGAAAAATTGGTTTGTTATCTATAACCAACCTTCAACCCAGTGTCATATCGCTTTCTCGATGTGAGAGTGAGAAGGACAATTGAATGTAGGCCTGAATAGTTTAAAATTGAATACGTATCAGGTATACGAGTACTTACTGGCCATTTGACCTACCCTATAGCAGGTAGATGTTTTTTAAGGGTATAAATGGTTGTCAGCTGAATTTTTTGTCTTAATAAGATCAATTGGATTCCTTTGCTTTCTACTAGAAAATTTTGTTGTTTTAGATAATTTAATAATCAATATATTTAATGTTCATTTATTCATATATGAATATTTGTCGTAAAATATATTTTCCAGTATGCTCTTATATGTCCATGTTACTGTTCATGTCTATAGGCGACGGTTACCATTTTCCATCGGGTGGCCCGTCAGCTAGTTTGCCATTCTAAGTTGTATAAAAAAAAATATTGTTTTTCTTGGAGAATATTATTGGCAAGTGACCTTCCTCTCTGGAAAAGTGAACCAAATATATCGATAGTTGCGTTATCGCTACTGCGTGTGTGGTATAGAACGAGACGGCAATGTCCGGCATTTTGTAAGCGTGTGTGCACGCATGAGAAAGAACAAGATGCCGGACGCCACTTGTTTAGAAGGACCAGCTTACATAGCGCGTCGGCGTCTAAAGTTCAGACTGTGTACTCATAGATGTCTTGTAATTATTAGTTCCTATCCTATTAATGTAAGAGTTTGAGTATTTATATGATTGAACGTTTATTAGCGAAAACGCTTTAACGGCTGGACGTATTTAAATCAATCATACATATTGCGATTTAAAATCGCGAAGTAGCCAAAACTGCTTGTTATCTATAATACTCGAGAGTTAATCTTATCTAAGCGAAGCATTATTCCTTCTCTGATAAACTAGTAAGTAAAAGTTCAGGATTTTGACAACGGACAGCTTGATTTGCTTGAATGTGGCCCCGCTTTATACGTATGGGGTATATAATAGGTGTTTATATGCCTCTTGGGTGCTCTAAATATGTTCGTTGCCTGGGTTCTTATAACCCAAGATTCCTCATTTTAAAGACTAAGGCTTTTATTCATAAAAATGTCAAAGGTCTCTTTAAACTTATTTTAGCTATTAAACTGTTTTGTCTCTTTCTTTTATGCTACATTCTCAATTTGAAAGAAAGTGAGAAAATAGTTTAATAGAAAATATAGGTTTTTAGTAAGTTTTAGTTTTTATGAATAAGGGCGCAGCGACTGATGTGATGGGATGAATACATGGGCATTGATGGAATGCTAGAGCAGGTTGTTTTCATTGCCAACAAACATATTGTGATAACAGTTTTACATTATTTATTATTAATTAAGACACTTAAACATTAACCATAGATTACTGTATGTATTTGTTGATAAGTGGCTGATCATTATTTATTAGTTGATAGTTACTCTATTGTTTCCTCCAAAATATTACATTAGTAAATTTATAGATACGAAGAAGTTACTAGGCAATTATTATATTGAATCATTAGTAAAAAAGCAATGGGCGCAAATCATAAAATTAGTGGGATCTGGTGGCCCTTTGGTACAGTGATCTAGGTTGACTGGGCAATGATTCAATAGAAATAAAAGGGATTTCCAGTTATTAGGGGTTTAGTGGTGTTTCATTGCTAGTATCATATACCTTGGGAATTGATGACTAAATTGGGAATGTAGCATAGTATCATATACAACGGATTGTGCTCAGAGGAATTATTCAATATGATGCCTACGGCCACTTTCTATCATCGTACAGCTCGCCATCGACAGGGAGTTCACCCTCATACCTTACAGCCTAAATGGTCGCGTACAACGCGGTTTCAGAGATGCTTTCTCCCACGAACACTCAGGTTATGGAATGAGCTCCCTGCCGAGGTTTTCCCGAGAGACTACAGCATGGGGTTCTTCAAAAGGGGGTAAAGAGGTTTCTTCAGGGTCGGCAACGCGCGCGTAATACCTCTGGTATTGCAGGCGTTCATAGGCTACGGTAACCGCTTACCATCAGGTGGGCCGTATGCTTGTTTGCCACCTCAGTGGTATAAAAAAAAAACCTCATAATTTTAATGTTCACGCTCTCTCCACGGAAACAAGTGTGATTAATTTTTGCAGAGTTTGTTACGATGGGCCCACTCATTCGCATAGTGGTTCCATTTTCTAAATTAATATTATAAAACGCAAAAAAAGATTTTTTTGTTTGTAATGGATAAATTCAAAATTTGCTTAACAATTATTTTATTTATAGAAAGCTGTATAATAATAGACTGTATTTTATTTAACAAAATCGAGACCTTCCTACCCGTGTGAAACTCTTATAGGGCTAAGTTCATAAACGCCCACCAAATTTACTATGACTCATTGTACACAGGCGGTGAAAAGAAGACTGAACCTGAGCGAGAGTAGTTCAGGCAGCCAAGGGCACGTGGTGCCCATGAAGGCTGATTTCAAGACGCCCAAGCAGAAACGCGTCAAAGTGCTCACGCCGTACAGCCGACCGTCCAGTTCTATGAAAAAGTACACCGAACGTTCCAGGTACATTGATTTGTCCAAGGTAATTCCATGATTTAATCCACATAAGTATTTCGCTTGCGATTTGGCGTTCTTGAAAAAGAACAATGTAATTTCGACTGATTTTTAGTCTGTATGTTACGTGATAGGTTTGCCAGTTGTGAAATCTTGTTTTTTTTTTATCAAAAGGGTTTGTTATATTGGTACCATAATGGTTAAGATAGAAGTTTTGTTTTTAAATTACCATAAGGTAGTTTTCTATTCTAAAGATTAGTCATCTATAATAATGTCTTTAGTACATTCTCCTTCTTTATTAATAATATTGAAACTCCCATTTTGCATTTTTTACATATGGTGCATAGTTGATGAGGTTGCTGGTATAGGGAAAGGGACTTTGGAAATGTAATACACTTCGTATCTTGAGAAGTAGCCAAATATGAAAGTATCATTCTGAAATTTTACTGAAATTGATATTTTTTACAATATAAATGACAATTAACTAAAATTTATTGTATAATGAAAAGTAATGCATAGATATATATATTCATGTAATTTTTTATAAAATAAGTCGATAATAAGACATACATATCTGAGATTTGACCATTGGAAGGATTGAATAAAAGTCTATATAACATGAGTACGTATACATATTATATATATTTATTGATACTATGTTTTGTTACAGATTTGACACATCATTAGGTTTACTCACGAAAAAGTTCGTCGCCTTACTAAAATCGTCACCCAACGGCGTGCTCGACTTGAACATAGCGGCGGAACAGTTGTCGGTCCAAAAACGTCGTATATACGACATAACTAATGTATTAGAGGGTATAGGCATATTAGAAAAGAGATCGAAAAATAATATACAGTGGAAATATGGTGAGTTATACTGATATGATATCAAATTACAACATTGATTGTCTTTGTTTCGTAATCTGAAGTACGCGTTCATTATAACAATGATGAATGAACTGTACCTCCTACATTAAAAAAAATCTCATAGCTTTCTAATGGAAATATTTAGGACTATTTAAAAAAAGAATTACTAAAAGTGCAGTCCTTGTTGCGTGAACCGCTAACAGAATTTCCTTTTCATTTATCGTCGTTAAAGTTCTAAGTTAGCGTATGTCATTCAGGCCCATTATACAAGTGGCGACCGCGTACGGGTAAACGCAGTGTAGGACGACCCCCTACTAGATGGAGTGACGACCTGAAATGCATTGCAGGGAGTCGGTGGGTGCAGGTGGCGCAGGACCGTTCTTAGGAGGTTTCTAGGGAGGCTGATATCCAGCAGTGAACGGATAATGGCTGAAATAATGATAATGATACAAGTGGCAAGCGATTTCATTGATGGAATCGATAACGCTAGCGAGTCCGTGAGACCGAATGAGATAGCAACGTCGGATGTCTCAGTCCAACTCATGGACTCGCTATCGATGTCGATTCCATCGACGAATTCGCTTGCCACTTCTCTAAAAGGTGGCTCTGTACGTTTTGGTGTAATTTGATTCGATTGTTAAAAGTAGTGTAGATCGCCTGAATTAATCAGAAATCTGAATTTAAATTTATTTTCCGAAAGGTATTTAAGCTAATTGCAAAAAAAAAAATTACAATATAAATGCAATTTGTATCATCTATATAACGATGTTGCAACTTCAACTACAAGAAGGAGACTTTGTACAAAAGTCGATTGCTTGGTTACCTCTGTCCCATTCGTGTTTCAACCGTGAAACAGCTGTGTCTGCATGGTTAATGATACTATACACGTATGTGACTGTACAAAAGTCGATTGCTTCTGCCTCTGTCCCATTCGTGTTTCTACTGTGAAGCAGTTGTGTTTACATAGCTGTTTCGGTTTGAAGAGTGGGATATGGCGTAAATTTACTGGGTACAGAGGTATAACACCTGAGTCCTCAGGAATGGCAACGCATGGGGGGTATCATAGGCGAAACAGTATACTCTGTTATGTCCATGGTTTTGCTCATGTCTATAGGCGACGGTTACCACTTTTCATCAGGTGGACCGTCAGCTTGATAGCCATTCTAAGTAGTATAAAAAAAAAACGTTATATAGATGATACAAAGCATGGAATTGTTTTGGTTTCGTGAAACTAATGCATGCAATACAATATTAGTTACACGTGAAACTGTTTAAAATTAGTTTCGCAATTTAAATTGGATTACCTAATTCCCTATAGTTTTGTACACGTGGTATCGTGTTTTTCGTTTAAGTTGAAATATTAAAAAAATCCTTTCTTAACGGATGCTTACGTTATTAAATAAAACTCTGTTTTAAATTCAACTTTCTAGATACAGTTACCAGAGGGAGACTTTGTACAAAAGTCGATTGCTTGGGTACCTCTGTCCCATTCGTGATTCAACCGTGAAGCAGTTGTGTTTGCATAGCTGTGTTTCGGTTTGAAGGGTGGGATATGGCGTGAAATTACTGGGTACAGAGGAATAACACCTGAGTCCTCAGGAATGGCAACGCATGGGGGATATCATGGGCGAAACAGTATACTCTGTTATCTCCATGGTACTGCTTATGTCTTTAGGCGACGGTTACCACTTTCCTTCAGGTGGACCGTCAGTTTGTTTGCCTTTCTAAGTTGTATAAAAAAAAAAAAACAGTATTTTTGGCTGCGTTAATAGTCGGCGAGGTTAAATGATTGTATAATTAATAGATTGACGGTAGATTATGACATTAGGGGTGGGCAGCAGTAGCGGCACGGACGTGGGCTCGGTGGGCGTGCAAGCGGACGAGGTGCGAGCACGCAAGCTGCGGGCGGCGGTGCGCGCGCTGGCGGCGCGGGAGGCGCGCGTGTCGCGGGCGGTGGCGCTGGCCGAGTCCGCGCTGCACGCGCTGTCCGCCGAGCACGACGGGCTCGCCTACATCACCTACGCGGACCTGCGCTCCATCAAGGACTTCAAGAACCAGACCGTCATACCCATCAAGGCGCCGCCCGACACCATACTCAGAGTTAGTCTCGCATTAGTCATTTTCTCTTCAGCGTGTAATTTAACGGTCGAGGAAAACGTTACCAAAGCTTTACTGCGGTTGCCGGGGGGAAAGCGATTGTTAGTAATGAGGTCTAATAGCCCCATTGCTAGCAATATATTCTCTCAGGTCTACCCCCACGTTCGTACGTAACTTAGTCACCTCCACGTAAATTAGTCACGATGGTTTCCAAGGGAACCATCGTGACTAATTTATTGTTGAATTCGTCACGGGCTAACTGACGCCTTTTCATCCTCACCTATCATCTTTCACTGGTGCCCCACCAGTGTATAACCGATAGCGCAGGCGGGGTTACCATTCCATTATTATCCATTAAAAAACTGCGGTTGGCAACCCGCCTGCCAAGAGTGGCGATTACTGGTAAATCCTCTTCAAGGGGAGGCCTATGTTTAGCAGCGGACAGTTAACGGCTGATATGATAGTGTAATTAGTAAACAAACTGAAGTAAGTCGGTCATAATATATTTCAAGAATTGTCAATTGTTAAGGAAAAAATTTTCTGGAGCAGTATGTCTACATGAGTAGAAACTAAAAACCCCCATCAGCTCTGGTGGTGTTATTTTTTACGAAAATCGAATTTTGATGAAAATTTAATGGTAACTCCACCAGCATATATCAACAATATATGCCGGTGGGCTACCAGTACGTGATGATAAGAATTAATCCCAGTTGTTTTATAGATGCTAGCAATACAAAATTTAATGTATATTGGAAACCTATTTCCGCACTAAGCCTCTCATTTGGACCGTTGTACGTGTGAGTCGTGGCTTATACTGCCAACAAACCTTCGCCTAGAAGCTTTCTGGTATCTTCACAAGCCTTACGAAGCGACCTCACTGTTCCGAGGATTTGTGAATGTTGAGGGGTCGCAGCTACACATTCCAGGATTATATGAGCAGCCGTTTCTCTGGCGTAAAAACGGCATATAGGTCTGTCTGTCGCCCGTCTGTGGCCCCTATTGTGTATAAGTGTTTACTTAAGGGGCAATGGCCTGTTATTATCCCTTTTATTGTTTTAAAGTTTTGTCCTGTCTGGAAATAATAGACTTTTTTCGTTTCAACGTCAACGATTCAACGGCGCGACGGCCAGTTTTGTTTACAATCAGTAGTTTGTGTCAATTTTTGGATTTGTATGTCAGTGTATCTTAAACGAATTCATACTCGAAATTACGATAACGGAAGAGGAAGAAGTGGATACGGGCCTGCCATTTTCATTCCAGAATCTCTTCTAGCTAGATCATCTGTGGCATCGTTACGATAAAATTCACTGTGCCCCTCTTATATAATGGAGGATAACTTAATTGTCGCAAGATATTTTACTAGTGGTTTAATTATTTATGTTAGGTTGCATTCGATTATTAATTTCTTATTTGTTTTGTTTTCAGTGCCTATAGTACCGTCGTGCTGTCTGAAAAGAATCTAATGCTAATGTCATTGATTTATAACCACATATTTGCAATATATCAACTAACAATTTTCCCATTGATGTGATTGATTAGATCGTTAGAAGTGACAAATATTAATAAACAAATAAATAAACTAATTTTCACGTTTATAATACATACAATTGGGACGAAAGATTCTTAAGTAGCGACTCCCTATAGACGAACGTAGTGTAATACAATTGTGACTAGGCAAAACAATGGAATCTTAATTATTATTAGTCTTTATTCAAATCGTTACATTTACGTTTAAATTACAGCATTATAATATGACCAATAGTTCTTACTTGTCATTTCTTTGTTTATTAGCAAAGGCCTTTCTCTAACCTTTCTCAGACTTTTTTTTATCTTGGGTGATAATAGTCCACAGGCTTCAAGCTATTTGCATAATTTTATTTTCCCATTTTTTGTTACCGCGCATTGTGTATCCAGCCCATCGCCATTACAGCTGTTTAATTTTTACGGTTACATTGTGTGTTTTTGTTGTCTATTGTTTATCTTGTCTATTTTTCTTTCTCCTATTATAATTCTTTTCTATGGCACATTCGCAAGTTCATAATTCCGTTTCAAATTCTTTCGTAAGTCAGATCGGAGGTATGCATATGTATAGTTTGCCTTTTATGGTCCTCTTTATGTTTTTATCTTTAATTATTTCTTTGAAAGATCAGTATAGTTTTGTCAATTCTTGTGTAAATTTTTTGATTGTATTGTATTTAATCGAAATTATTTGTTTAAGATAAGTGTATTTGACTACATATTTTATTTCATTATTGCCTATTGTTATTTTTTCTTAAATTATGTTAGTCTTAATTTTTTGTAGACTCACGCTGAAACCAACATCTTTATTTTACTGGTTTTTTTTTTATGTAACTTAGAATAGCAAAGTCGTTGATGGCCCATGTGTTGGAAAGTTGTAATCGTCACCTATAGACTTGAACAGTACTATGGACATAACAGAGCATAATGTGTCGGTCTTCTAAGTCTGTAGTTCTTGTGGGGATTTTGTGATTAGTTTTGAAATCCTAGTAGTAAACTAAATAACTTATTAAATACCTTTATTTCAATTTATTCAATACAAATTCATACGTATTAATAAATAGTGACAGCTGTCATTTTCTTTCATGTAATAATACATTTCATTGATTCAATAGACTGCAGGCACTATATTTAATCTATGTTCAGTATTAATCCTCAGTAGCTAAGTATAGTTTATAACATGGATACAATGCTATAATATGAAATTTAAAAATATTTTATATGAGTCTTATTAATTATTTTAAATAAATATTATTTCGAAAAAGTATCAAGATTTCACTTTTGTTGCAAGAAAACGAAACTCGGTAAAAGTTACTGAGTTCTTTCAAAACAATATGTTTATATATTCCCTCAAATATAAATGAGCAAAAAATTTGAAAGAGTACTGTATTTTTGCATCATTAGTTAATTTATCTGTGGTTGGACATGCTGCTTCTTGAAGACTACCTTTAGCCGGCGAATAATTATATCAAATGTAAAAATTAATAATTACATTGAAATTTACTTATGTTTTGCTTAATTTTCAGGTACCTCATCCAGACGAAAATGGATATATGTTCTACCTGAAATCAATGTCTGGTGAAATCGAAGTCTTCCTCTGTCCGAAGGAACGGCCGCCGTCGCCTCCTCCCTGTTAGTATGACTGTTATTATTATGATAGTATGATTAATGTTACATAGTAATGTAAACTAACTAGATGTAATCCCCAATGTTACACCTAAATTAAGGTAGATTGTATGCAATATATTTATGTCAAAGTTTCACGAATGCCATTTGCTACTTTACCATGCAAGATCACCTCGTGCTCCTTTTTTTTTTTATCTAGTTTCTGCAATTTTTTTAAACGAATGCTGTTTTTGTGCTTTCCAGCCTCAGAGTTGCTGCCTCCATATCCACTCTTAGAAGATAATAAGGCGCTGCTCGCTCCGCTCATAGCTCAGCTGCAACCCTGCAGTTCAAGTTCTATCGCTGCGGATTATACGTAAGTATTAGTTTTTTTATTTTGCTAGCTTTGTCTATGATAAGGAATGTGTAACTATGGGAAACAGTTAAGAATGTAAATTGCATTTGTTAATTTATTATCATTATGATATTATTAATAAGTAATTGTAGGCATCAGAGGAATCATAATCTAATAGTTTTGTTACTGTGATCACATGTGAGACACTTGATAATGTTTGTATAAGTTATGAAGCCTTTTTATTGAATGCAATTGAAAGAATTATAAATGTTGATAAAGAAAATAATCAGACAGTATAATTTGTATTTGTATTGTACAAATATCACTTGTTTTTGTAGTATTAATAAAAATCTGTTTATAATATTTGAATTCTAACAGAAATTGATGTCTGGCCCAAGCAATAAACTATGCTTGTACTCTGCAGAAGGTTGTCTCGCTCTTCATTTTTTTTTTTCTAAATTATGGTTGTGAAATAAACAATACTAGGTCTTATGAAGTAGATTATCAGTCCTGAGTTATAAATTGTTAGCATCGTGTAACAAACGTGTGAAGTTATTTGAGTTTGAAACGATAAATGTACGTAATAATGTTACAGCACGCCGGTGAAGCGTGAACCGGGGACCTCAAGTGAACCGGGCTCAGGGCCAAGTTCTGGGCCGGGGCCGGGTTCAGGGTCGCGGGGCGGGTTGAGCGGGTGGCGTAATGCTGACCCGACGCTGGCACGCGTTCTGGATCCTTCGCCGCCCTCCTCGATGTCTACTCTCTCTGCACTCTCTACGCCTGACAGTCAGTATACTGCATTTATTTTATATTAGTACTTTCGAATTGCTTATCCCCTAGACAATGTGACAATTTATCGCTAGAAGCAAGTCACTAATTCCATGCAATTTGGATTGCATGGAATTAGTGAAAGATTGAATGTTTTGCTAGCAAACAATTTTTAAATTACTGATACATTTGTATGCAACTTCAAATGGCAAATGAGCTGATGTCTCATCTAATGGTTAGTGACACTACTTACTATCACTATTTGTCTCTCCCTCTGATGTCGAGAGCTTCAAAAATAGATTGTTAGACTTCCTTTCATATCACACCATACTATAAAATATACTGTGTAAATATTACTAGTCCTCACGTGGTGTTATTCCTGTGGACTACCATGTTATACCTCCCTGTAATTTCACTGCTATATCCCGCCCTACAAACTGAAATAGCCATCCAAACAGAGCTATGTGACTGCAGAAACACACAATTTTTAAGAGTCTATATAAATAATTTTCAAATGATTATAATTTTCAATATCAGGTTCAGTGCGGGGTAGGCTTCGTAACGCGCTGATAGCGGAGAGCGATGATTTCGCGCCAATTATGGGCGGCGGTCGCTTCCAACTACAGACTGAGGACCAGGAGTCAGGTACTGATTTGTTTTTTCCATCACACCTCGTATTTGAATATTATAGACAGTACACTACTCACAGGGTGTTGGTTTTGATTTATAATAACAAATTTAAATATTTTATAATACCTTGTTTAAAGCCAATTCTATGCAAATGATGTAAGATTTGGTGTAAGATATATGCAGATAATATAGTTTATTAGCTAATCCTATGTTATGTACAGAGTAGAATTAAGGTAAAATGTTGTTATCATTTATGGCATAAGATACTAAATAAACAGAGAAAAAAAAAATAACTGTCTGTTATGAAGTTGAAATGTAATTTAATGTAAATTGTATTGATTGAAAATGTGTTTTTGTTATTAATTTTTGATAGTAATAATTGGATGTATTGTATACTTGACGTCGGATGCTAAAATAAATAATTTCAGCTAGCTCCAATTGCTGCAGAAGATATTCGCGTTTTGTGGCTAGAACTCCGGCTGTGACTTGTGTTTTAGTCACATCACAGTCAGAGTTCTAGCTATACGGCGCGACCAACGTCCTACCGGCAACTCCATGCACCCCGTAGTAACGAATTCATAAATAGTGATTGTACTTTGTTTAATACTAGTATGGTACTTTTAGAGTTCTATTATTAAATACAGCTAATTGGCCCCGAAATAGTTTGATTCAAACTTTACTTTTTGTTTCTTATATACTTGGCATAAATAATTTTTTTTTTTCGGTTTTGCTCATTCAAAAGTAAGACAATAAAACGATAGTAAAATTGGGTAATAATAACAAATCCTTTATTACGCATAGGAGAAATAACCATAGAATATATTTTACAGAATGTTCAATTACAAAAGATACAAAATGTGACATTATTGCTAAAACCAATCTTTTATAGACACCCTGATAACACAATCATTTAACACATAGTTTTCGATTTTAACAGTTTGTTATTATTGTTAAAAATATAAGCTAAATTAAAAAAAAAAAAACAGATATATTTGTTTGATGAAAATGTGTGATGGCAATTTGAAGGCATATCAAACAGCACAGCACAGTGTGAACCTTTATATATATAAATAAAAAGAATTTCTAGACATCGCTTGAAACATGTACAATATCTGCAGTTATATATTGGTATAAATTAAATGTTGTGAATGATTGACAAACTCTATTTTCAAATTAACCCATGTATGATTAGAATGGTTAGACGCGATCACTATTTCGGGGGCCCTATAAATAAACATGATTGTGATTCCAAAAAATCTTGTCTTTTCCTTTATATTGATTCGCGTGACATGTCATTGCGTTATAATAAAAACTATTATCTATAGTACATAGACTACTAGGTATCATGTTTTTCCTTGTGTACTTACTACTTCATTGTTTATTTTGTGAATATTTTGAAATATACAATTTTTTCATTTGTGTTTTTGGTGTCAAAGCGCCTATTGTCGCTGCATCTGCATGCTTCCATTGTCATCCCATATTCGGCTTGTTAACTAACTTTGTCATTGTTTTGTGTGCTTTAATTTGAAAACGAAGATTTGCTTTCAACATCCTTTACAATTTTGGTGAAATGGTTCTATAAATTTGTATAACAGTATGAATTAATTTCAACACATGAAGATAACTTCAGTTGTTTTGTTGTTAACTGGGTTTATTTTATGAAAATATTCTGTAATTGCACTCGACAAATCTCATAACTGTTTCAGAGAATGTAAAATGAAATTATGTATTTAAAGTAGATTGTATTAAAGTTTCAAGGAAACAATAGAATAATTTTCTTGGGAGGCAGTTTTTTGAATTTAGTTCTCAGATTGAACATTTTGTGACAGAGAAACCACGGAAAATTTTATTCCCTCTATAAGAAAAAATGAAGGTTCTAGATTAAACTCATTAATATATTTATGTAAAATAGTATTAGCATTTTTATTAGATAAAGTAACACTTGAATTATACACATTTGAACCTTCTGTGAATTTTGTGGATCTTTCGAAGAAAAAAGCATAGTTCCCTGCCACACACCTGAGTCCTCAGGAATGGCAACACATGTGGGGTATCATGGGTGAAACAGTATACTCTATTACGTCCATGGTACTGCTCATGTCTATAGGCGACGGTTACCACTTTCTATCAGGTGGGCCATCAGCTTGTTTTCCATTCTAAGTTGCATAAAAAAAAAAAAAATTAAGAGTCAGTAATAGTTTTTCGAATAGATGAAAGTAATTTGCTACATAGTGCAAAGTTTACAGAGTATTATTGTGAAGTACATCCCATGCCTAAATATTATATTTAGGCGATATTTCTAGAGAAAGACTTATTCTTCCTTTTTGAAATATCACTAAAATTAGTAAAGAGTGTTGCATCAGTATGTTTATATTATATTTATATGCAACGAATCTTTCGATTTGCAGGTTACATGACTCGCATTTGTAAATTCTTGTAATTTGAATTTGTCATTTGGTTTTGGAACTGTGTCTGGTTTTGAATCATTTCTGTAATGTATAATATTTCAAGTAACATAAATGTGTAATTAATTTGTAGGGGAATTAAGTGGAAAGGTGCACTAGATGGCAAATATTTGCAAAACATAATAAATATAAATCTTACGACTTGAAAAATGTTATCGCTATATATACTTTTGTGAATACATTAAAGGTACTGCTTCTTGCGAATGGAATGGAAGTTTACGAAAATTTCTCAATAAAAGTAATATTATTTCAAATTAATTAAATTTGGTTGACTATTTTAAGTCACAATTTCAATTTGCATCTAGTACTACTTTACACATAATGTAGGTGTTGGATCATGTAAATACACTTGGTATGTGTGTGTGCCTGTGTGTGTGTGTATGTATGTATGTATGTGTGTGTGTGTGTGTTGGTGAGGTGGGGTGGGGTGAGGCGGGGCGCGTGTTGTCCGCGAGCTGCATCCCGTGCGGCTCCAGTATCCCCGTGTAGCACCATGGGATTCAGCTCACGGCGGCACACTAACTCATCTACTAATCCACGTAACGCCACCATCGTCCGTAACGCCCTCATGTCTAACGTCCGCACTAACTGGCACCTACTGCGAGCTATTTATGACTCGTTTGTGTTAACACCTATTGGGAATTGGAAGTTAACCCCCTTAGTTCGTACACGAGTCATAGCGTAGACATGGTGAATATACAGGCTGTAATCGAAATTGTTGGCATCTTTTTAAAGGATTTTTCACAAGTGATATTGAACGTTTTTTCAAAGAAACATGGAATAAATAAAGACAAAAATTTTAAGCCCGCGAATTGGAACTGATTATGGGAATACTAAAATGGCACCACAATCTGTCAAGTTAATATGGGAGTGATTTTTTTTGTCTCTTTTCGATTCATAAATATTTAGTTACACTTGTTGAATTCTTCTTTAGAATGACCTTAGCAATTTTGATTTCAACCAGTATAGTACGAGATAATTACGTGAAATCCGTACTGCGTGTACATTTACGTTTACGTTATGCCTCGTATTTTAAAATGTAAAACCTTTAATAAATCTCAATTTTCTTTCAAATTAAAGTGAAAGCTCTCTAAAAGGTAAAACAGGTTTATTACGATGAGTATTGATGGTTAAAATGCTAATTTAAATCAACAAATAATGTTATATGACCATTGTCATAATACAGTATTAAATTTCGTTTCTGAGTGTTGCGCAAGGGTTTCCAGATATGATTTTTTTTTTAATTTTATCCAAATGTAAAATATTTTTTTTCAAATCTATATGATTTTCATTATTTTTACCCAATCACAAATCAATTTTCACTATGTTTTGCACTAAATCACAAAATCATCAACGAAAATAAAACGCGCCTTTGTTTTATATTTTTATCGACTTTCTCTTATTCCGTCTTTTGTTTTACTATATATTTTTATTATTATTATTATTATATGATTTGTACAACTTTCAAAGCTGCCATAAATATACCCATCTTTGTCTATCCCCATTTCACGTTTTTCCAAAAAATTCTCCAACATTTTCATTTTTCCAAAATTTTGCGAACTTAATTTTTTTTACTTAATCTGTTTAGTATAACCTAATCTGGTAATGCTGCTGTTGCCATTAGAAGCAATTGCTTTTAATAAATACTCATCGTTTAATATTTTTTACGAATAAGGGGTTAACTTTTTTGTAATTATTTTTATGAAAAAAATTTTAGTAAACAAATGTATGTTGTAAATACTGACAATGTTTTTTTTTATGTCTTTGTAATTATCTCAAGTATTGGCCTCCAAGTAGGTATTGGTTCATATAAAATATTAAAATTTTTTAGGATGTATCAATAAATTGTTTAACAGGGAACCATTTATTATTCCATTTTTTTTTCTTTTTTATTTCATATGTATTTTTTTACAGTTGAACCAGTTATTATTATTTACAATGAAGGGCTTAAACTAGGTATAAGTGTACTAGGTGTATTATATATATTTTTTAAATACACCAGTAATCTTATTAGAGCGAATGGAACTACGTCTTATGTTCCTTAACAGAAGCGCAAACGCTGCCAACGTGTGGCCTACAATATGCGCTGTAGTGAGACAAGATTATACGTTGGTCTTATTCCGCTAAAGGCGCGGTTGGCGTGTGATCGTATTATGATGTACTATTCTAATAATAAAAACGTGTAATACTAGCTAGCTGATTTTGTTTCTGCTATTAGCAAGGTCAACCCATATACGGATAGATTTTTTAAGAAATATTTTGGTCATAAAGTACATTTATTTCACTTGTGCACATAATTTTTTTTATCAATAATTCAATATTCCTGTTGGGAACTGGCTAGCAATTAGACTGTCGTATGTTTGTTCTTTTTTTTTAAATAAGTTAAGAATCTGTTACAAATATGGTATTGTATGACTTTTCAGAACCACTGGAGTTGGAGCCATTCCTAGCGCTAGAGCCGCCAATGTCCGCGACCGACTATGGCTTCTGTCTCGACCACACCGAAGGGCTCACGGATCTCTTCGACCTGATATAGAGCAACGCAACACATCGCAAAACCGGTCCAGTTCCCTTATCGTATATGTTGCAACAGAAAATATTTATTTTTTCATATTAGATACGTTACCTGGACCTCTAGATGGGTGGCAAACGGATCTGTGTATATATTTACGCAATCACACCCATGCGAAAGAACGACGCGTAATATATGCTGTCTTGTTCTTTTTTATACGTGCCGTAGCGTATATTATCTATAAATAGTTTCGTTTGTCAGTTGTTCAGAAGTGCTAATTTATTTCTTGATGTAAACAGATAAGCGCTATTTGATTTTTGTTATATCGCAAAACTAACTTAAAACTGGTGTTTATATCGAGTGTTTATAAATTGGCAATCGATTTAAATATTAGCATATAGTGTGGACTAGCCAGCGGTTCCTAAATTTTAAAGGCTATGGACTCAAATTATTTTTATTTTAGGGGACCGAAACACCAATCAGTTCGAGAACCTTTCTTTCCCATCCATCGTCAGTTCATTAAGCTACGTAGCTGGCACATTTAAGTTTACTGAAACCTTTAGACTATCTTAGTCAGTTTTTGGATTTTTTACATGGCTATTGGCGTCTTGCCAAATCTGCTCAAAACAGTTTCTGGTGTTTGATTACCTGATGGGTTTCTTGCTCACCTCGGTGAAGAGAAGAAGGTCAAATTTTCTTTCCAATATTTTCGCTGTGAACTCTTGATTCGACAAAAGAGAAAGGCATCACCCTTCTTGCTACATTCTGGGTAAATTATGCCCAAGCTAGCAAGTTATAGAAGGCTAGTGGACTGGACGCTATTTCAGCGATAGTACTTAGGCATTGTGCGTCCGAGTTGTCTCTCGTCTTAACATTCTTGTTTCACCTAAGTTACGCCTCTGGATCAGTGCCGATATCTTGGAAAATAGCCAATGTGTAACCGCTTTCTAAAAAAAAGGAACCAGGAACTGATCAGGTCTGTTAAATAATCGTCCCATTGCTGTAACCTCAGTGCTGTCTAAATTGCTCGAGAAGATCTTAAATCTGCTATATGAAACACCAGTAATGTGTATGAAACACTGCTCGCAGCTCTGGAATGGTTCCCCTTAGTACCTTCTACATGTTCTCGGCGTTTTATAGAGAAAATGAAAATGCTGAGGTGAGAAAACTAGAAGCTCTAAAATTAGGTAGAGATGCAGATTACCTCAGTATCTTTTAATGTCTTTTCCATGGGGAATGCTTAGAAGAATTTCTTTCACTTATTCTATCTTCCCTTTTCCACATGAAGATGGGACAGCGGCTGCATTCATACACGGTAGACTGCCCGTACTTGTGTACAAAAAAAATTTTTACTGTTCTTGTGTGAACCGTACCGTAACAATGTACAATGGTCTTTCCGGTGTCATGTTTCTTTCGTTCTATAACCTCGGACCATTCAATCGTAGCGTAAAAAGCACTTAGTGAGCCGGAATAGAACATTATCTTTTTAGTTGATTGTATTCATGGACCATGCCTCTATGTTTGTTCATGATGGAGTAGTCATATCGTCATAGTCATAGAATACTGACGGATCTGACGGATATTACATATAAGGAACCGTCAATATTTTACGACTACGACGATATGTCGTGCTATAATAATAATAAAAAAAAAAAAAAAAACTATTTGAGACTGTCACACAGTGATATTCTCAATATTTTATCCCTATCCATAGCTTGCTGAATTATATGGAACTTAGAACAAGCTTCAAATGATAAAAGATATTTAAATAAATTTTATTTTATTAATATATAAACTTGAAGGTAGAAATTATATGCATGTTCTTCGATTTCTAAATCGAACCTCAGTCTCGCGAAATTGCTCAAAAGCATTATTATTTATTAATGCCCCTGATTCGCAGAATCGCTTAGGAATCGCTGGCTAACTACATTTAATCAACAATGCCGCAAAATAATCAAGATAGTACTTTTATTTTTAACGAATTATAGTAGTGTTGGATCACTCGCACATTTTATTGTTATGAAATAATCAGAAAAGTGGCGTTGATTGAAATGTTACCTTTGTTATAAATTATAAGCGTTTATATATTTATTTAATGCTCAAATCTGATACATGATTGTTAAATACAATACCGTTTCGAATTAGACGATCGCTGAAAGCCGTTGACAATCGCCTAATTGGTAAAAGTTTGTATGTAGAACCCGTAAAGTAGGGGTGTCCAATAATTCAATTTCGATCTATCGCAAAACCTTTTATAGTCGACATTAAATTAAAGCAGTACAAACTGTACTGGTTTAACAATTACATTTGTTATTAAACACAGGGCATAAACGTAGCATGTTAACGAAAGACTAATACTATCATTGAAATTTAAGAATTTCAAATGTAACCATTCTCACCAATCGGTTTCGATACAAAACATACATAAATGGCTACCCCTACCATAGATATCGAGTGATTCTTTTATAAACTGACTTGGGGAAATTAATTTTACTATATCGTAGCACTTGACTGTGTACAGTGAGAATAGGTGCTTATTTTTAATATTGAACATTGAATAAATCATTTAATGAAAATACATGGCGACATGAAATGGACTATAACGCCGACAATGTGTTATGTACCTCAAATTTTTGTATTGAGATCGCGTTGTCTTAATTCCAAAACGCTTAAAATGTTCCTCGTACGTCAATGGAGGCGTATCAACATAGTCTAACTTAAAACTCGGAACATTCGCTGAAGTAATGTTTAAATGAACGATAAAAGTAATCAACGGTTCCAGATAAGTGGCAAAATTATCTGTTTTTAAATATTATGCTATCACATACATAAGAAAGAATGAGACGCCGGATATACTTTCTTTTTCTATTAGATGTGTAAGGCAGTGTACTGGTTAAAAATGGATTCTTTCGCTTGAGTAGAGTCGGCACCCCTAGACAAGTGATTTACAAATATAGCGATAGATATGTTGACACAATTATCTGCATGAGATGAATCGAGACAATAATGTCTGGCATCTTGTTCTTTTTCATACGTACACTGACGAAAACGTGTTTATCGATGAATTTAATCGCTATTTCTTTATGGCGGCTGATAATCAATCAACAAATTATTGCGACAAGAGATAATATAAAAAATGAATTTTTAATAAATGAACAATATTATGAGATGATCACCTATTGACATGACGTTGCTAAGGGAATGTTCCGAGTTGGAATGTAGGATGTGTTGCAATTGTGACGTGTAGCGGCGGTCGCGGTGGGGGTCGCGGCCGCTCTGTACATACACTCGCTCAAATGCCGCGGCGCCCGCGTCCGCTCTGTACATATTACTATATAATGAACGGTGATATCTTAGCGGCCTTCGATTTTATTGTAAAGCTAGCTCTAGTGTTCTATTGTCATTCGTGCCGTTGGCCTATTGTTTGCAATCGTCCTGTTCCGTGTAATAAAGTGTAATTTGCCAAATATTTAGTTGATATCTGAATTTTGACATTTAGTTATGATATGGTTTCGTTTAGTAGTCTTGTAAATAGCGCGGACCGAACGGATTCGATGCGAACGCATTGTATATTTGTATGATTTAAATAATTAAGTACAAAAACAGGAGCGTGTGTTACAGTGGCTCTACAAGTGTAACTCTACGGATGTAACTCGTTGATAAATTAAATCATTTGTAAATAAAAACAGCCAATGTGTAACATTGATATTTTATATAATAAGATAGCGTATCAATATTATTTTATTGTCGCTATGAGGTTTTTAAGGCGAATAACATATCGGATAGTCTCTATATGTTGTGTTTCCAGGATTAAAAAAGTCAATTCAAAAACAGTATACGCGAACTGTACTTTAGAGTGACTGTGATACCGCATATAAATTACCTCATGTCCATTTCGCTCGTTCGCGCGCTCCGTTCCCTCCGCATCGTCTAGTGTACAGCACAAATCCATGTATAAACTTATTAATAAGTGCATATCAAATAATTTTAGTGTTAGACATATTTGGATGTGGGTGTGGCTGGCGCGGCGTGTCGGGTAGCGTGCGGGCGGCACCGGTTGCAATAATAGTCGATAAATTTAACGCCACGAATATGGGTTGCTTCCTGTTTATTTTTAATCGGATTCCATGATTTGTGGTCGTAATGTTGAATCGAGAATCTTTCAATGGTGCAACTACCGTGTACATTTTGTCTTTATTCTTGTAAATCCTATTTCAAATTATAAAATCTATATGATCAATAGAAATAAAATGTATACATAGTTGCACAATATCGTATAGAAATCATAGTGAGAAGAGCTATCAGGTAAAACAATTTATGGGATCCTTGCTTAGTTACTGTTGCACTTGATTAAGTCGCGACTATGACTCGCCGTCCCAGAAGTATTAAATTATCTTTTCATTACCCATGTATGTCGCGTTACATTAGATTTGTTTTGTGACACCAATGTCTTACACTCAGGGAAATGTTATTTATCATTTATTCTCAATTGAAACCATTCAATGAAATAAATATGTATGTATATTAAATTAATTTATAAATAAGATTTTAGTTGCAGCGTCTGTCATAAAATATTGATTGTTTGTGTTTCATAAGGATTTATTAATGTCTTTCTATTTATGTAATGCTAAAAAGCGAATTATGTTTTATCGGGTATTTACAATAAGGAATATAAACGTGTATTTCCGTTTTATGATTTTTTTTATAAAATATTCCATGATTACAATATCCATTTTCTATGGTTCCACTCGAAGAAGTGAAAGTGAAAAATGAAAGAAACTGGTTACTAAAATTGATCTGTTAAAAATACATATGTATATGTGTTGCATTTTCAAGCAAAAATAGTTAACACATATGTACGTAAGTCAGAAAATATTGAAATGTATGTTACATTTTGGTATTTTGTGTACTTTTTTTAATAGTCACTAAGAATAGATGAAATAATTAGACTTTTCCCTCATGGCCCATCAAAATAGTTTGGAAATCGATAGTCTGCTTTTAATGTTGGGAGTACCTCTTTGGTAAATTAGATTTTACCTGCACGAAAAAGTGTCATATGTAGTTTGCACGAGATTTTTTTATACGGTTCCCTTTAAAATTACCACCTTAAATTTTTTTTACTCAGTCAATTTTATGCTAAGATCTCATAAACACTAGATAGTCCGGTGGGTTAGTGATATGTTGTACATGAAACTCATAATTCATTGCATAAGATAAGACGGAAATATGTAATCTATTCTTATACAAATGTACAATCGTCGGGGAATTTTTGCACTTGTTTGTTATTGTAAATGCACAACTTAATATGAACAAAATTCGCTTCTAGCAACAACTGCAATTGACAGAATTAAATTTATTCAAGCGCATTGTACGAGATAACCCGTAATCAAACATAGGTTACTGATCGTCTCGAAAATCTTTTAAAATTTATTTTTGTGAAGGCGATTTGTTATTTTTATTTATAATCTCTAATTAAATTGTTTGTAACACAAAATCTGGGGCCAAACATACGAGAAAAGCAAGTACAAATTAAACAAGAGTTTTCTCGTAATTTAGTTTAAGGGTTTTTACGCTACTTCCATTGTTAACATCGATCGGTACTTTGTTTGATAAAATGGTAACGGCGCGTAAATTGATTGTCTATATTAGAACGATCGATCGATTGAATCGTGTAAACTTTAGTCTTTTTAAAATCTATAAATCTACGACATTAAGTGTACTAATCGATTCTGTCTATCGCTAAAATTATTTCTAAAATTATATAGTTTTAGAGATAAATTTAGAGAATTTAAGAATTGGTTGTCTGTTACTTGGTAAATTGTAATTATATCTTTGGTTTAATTCGGGTGCCAATGCATCTGTTATAATTTTTTAAAAAGGCTTTGGTTTTATATCTCTAAAATTCAAATGGACTGTCTAAAATAATACATAACAAAATCTAATATAAAATAACCAGTAATTTTTATAAATGATAATTGCATGTGGAGGAGTGTTCTTAAATATTTTGCTGGAGTTAACGAACTCAATTGTAATAAATAATAATTTGTAATACCTCGAAAAGTCGACTATTGCAATTGTAAATAAGGTTCTTGGAACGTCGATTTTAATTAAAATTAAAGTTTAGATTCTTATTTCTTTTGACAGAATATTTACATTTTAGTTTTAGAGACACGTACTTTACAATTGGTATTCAATATACAATTCCAAAGTAATTTTGACAATTACAACGTCCGAGTCAAGTTCGAAAATCGAGAGTTTCAAGAGCCAATCGATGAATCCAAATATTTGATAACCATAACATATGCTTATGATGTTTTAGCCGCCAGTATTGTCTAAGAAATTACAACGAGTTAGTCCATACAGATGTAGTCGCGTCGGTTCGACGGTGCACAGGGTCCTAATGTAGTGCTGACAATATTGTTAATTCTCCAAGAGCTGGTAATAACTAATAACACATCAGTTTGTATGTGATACCTCGTAATTGTAAAGAATGTTAATAATGATAGTTTATTACTTGCACCTCGAATCATCAACTTTATGATATAGTCAGGAATACCTACAAAAATAATTCCATTACTATATCTGAATATAAATCGTAATAGTTCAGTACTCGTTAATCCAAGATTAACAAATACGTAAAATACGTTTTCTCTTGCTTACATAAAAATGGAAAAATTGTTAAACAACGGTGAGTATGCTTGTCTTGTTAGCTTCAATTACGAGGTACCACGTTATTCTTGTGTTATATAATTTCTCTTCAGTGTTACGACAAGCGGGGTATCTCATAGACTCGTTGATTTTGTCCTATTATGATTGTCATTGTAATTTATGTACTTATATTTCGTTGTATAGTGCGCGAATGTTCCTTGCGCGTAAGTATTTAATGCAAACATGTCAATGAACGGGTTGTATCCATACATTTTATACGTTACGATCGTAAAACAGGCAAGTAGTGCTAAAATGAAATCGAGACTTTTTGACAGTATGTTTTTGTGTAATTTTCTGATTTAAAATGGAAATTGAAGGTGCAATGTTATAATATATTTATGGAGCGTGTGAAAGTTGGATTGGCGACATATTGACGCCATTTTGTTGTTGGTGTGAAGTCTGTTTGGTTAGTATTCATTTGTGTTGGAAGACTGAGGTTGATAATTCCAGTTTTGATGAACGAGCGAGTTATTTGTTGATTGAATTTAAATATAAAGTCATATATATAGTTAGGTTATATTTTTTAAATATAATATTGAGATATGTAATATAACAATGTTTTTGATTTATCCTTCCCATTGGACGAATTTTAGCAAAAAGAATTTAATCCACAATGTAGATTAACGTTTTAAGTCCAGAGTGGTATTTTTTTAGAGATGCTGTAAGCAGATTTTTTACCTCATTGAATTTGTCAAAATTAATCATATTTTTAGAGACTCATTCAGGTTTCTTTTTGCTAAAATACTACTTTGATAATGCAGATAACATAAACAAGAATAAGGTCTATATTTTTGCGTCGAATGAAACTTATATGGCAACTCGTGGAACTAGTGACGCGTCAATCTATCTTTTTTGGATTTCTAATATTTTGGTACTCGTTAAAAATTGAATCTTGACTCGAATCTGAAGACTAGAAATATTTTAAAATCATTTCTGAAGTTTACTTTTATAAAAGTAATAAATGTTTAGTAAAAAAGTATTTTTTTTACCTTAAGGTAATTAAGGAAAAGATAAAATGCTAAAACAGGAAAAGAAAACCTTATGATAAATACAAGAGTAGTGTTTTAAGTTCTCGATATCAATATTGAAATACTAAATATATTCGAGTTCTGTATATTGAATAGTTGAGTACATTTTTTATGACATATTAACAACATAATAACGCCTCCCCTATCGGTATGTAAGTATGCGCGGTATCAGTGAGGGATAATAAGTAGAGGTGAAGCAGGCCTGTTGGTTCATCGTGACGAATTTATAAGAATAATCACGATGGTTTCCAGGGAGAACCGCGTAGAGGTCGACTTGACAGAGTATATTGATAGCAATGGGGCCACTAGTCTCCATTACTAACATTTCCTTTTCCTCCCCTTGAGTATTAATTAGGTACTTGAGCCAATACTCGGGTCACCCTGACACGATCATCACTAACTGAAAATCAAATATTTATTTATTTATTTAAATAAATAAATATAGATTTTTTTTATTTATAAATCCAGTGTAACAGAAGTAACACGAAATAAATATAAATACTATATCTTTAACAAATATAGTATTTACTGAACTATGTATTTGTCATATAAAATCAGTCTTTGATGAATTCGCTTATTGTGAAATTCTTGAAGGATTTGCTCCAGATGTCCGTGAAAGCGGTGCTTACGAAGTCGTTGATCAGAGGTCTGAGTATCGCAAATCCTGGTTTCCACGCAGCATTGATAATACGATCCAGTATTGACTCTGGAATTAAAATAAAGAACTCTGCTATTACCTGCGGAATGTATACAGCATTGTATTGACAACTTTTTATCGTTAACAACAAGGTGCGTATAAAAGAAAATGTTTGAAAAACTGCACACAAGAGTGAAAAATTTGTATACTTGTGTGAAGACAAAAGCAATTAGTTTTAAAATATTGCAATCATTTATTTGATATTACTCACAAGTCTATTATCGTGTTAATGTAGTCAGTTAAATGAAAAGACAAACACAAATAGGTTCTCCATCGTATATATGGGACAAGAGCGGTACACTCAAGAAAATGTTTGTTGAACAAATCTAACTGGGACAGTTAAATGGCAGTATAAGCATTCAGCAAATTTATTGATATCTTTTGGTGAAAATGGTATGGTAACCCCTGTCTGCGATATTAGTATACACTAGCGGGGTACTAATGAGAGATGATAGGTGAGGATGAAATCAGGTCAATTGGCTTATTGTGACGAATTCAATAAGACTTATTCGCAATGGTTTCCAGAGAGAACCGCGTAGAGGTCGACCTGACAGGGTATATTGCTAGCAATGGGGCGATTAGATCCCATTACTAACAATCCCTTGCCCCCAGTCGATTGATATCAGAATTAGTAGGCGGGACGGAGGGACGCATGTAGACAATTTTTATTAAAAACAGGAAACCGCACGAAGTTAAATTAAAATTTTTGAAATAACATACCTAATATACCATTTCCTTTCAATATATTTCCGACGTGCAACTCCATGCCACCTATATGGTCTACTTCCACATGAACGTCCAGGTCGCCGTAGTTACGTTTAATGCGCGTGCTCTGAGAATAATCTCGAAGGGTGAGGTTCCAATGGCCCGAACGGAATACATTCAAACCTAACATTTCTCCCTGAAATTTGAACATTTGTTTGTTATAAATATTGTACACTAGTCTTAAATTATATGTTACAATGGTGCATTTATAACAGTTATTTGTGATCATATAAATATCGTATGTTATAAAAATACCTTATTTTGGACTTATAATGACAATGTTCTACATTATTTTTAGTGTAAAATAACGTACATATTAAATTTGTATGTATATTTAATTATTTAAAATATTGTTGATTCCCAACATTTACTAAAATTATAATTTTAAATGGATACTTTAGCTATAAGAATAAGGAAATACTAGAATATTTGTGTTGTCAGGTATTAAAGAAAGTTAAAGAAAGGAATTTATATAAGGATAGAGTATGAGACTTGGCAATATACCCGTGTAATATTAGGTTTTAAACATCCTATCGCGTTAAGGAAAAATAGCATTGGATTTGTAAAAATAAAAATTTTCAGAATATACGACAAACTATCTTGTGCACTTACTTGAAAGTCATAATCGCCATGTAGTGTTTTTACAGGAAAATATTGAGAATAAATAATCCGCCCGTTATTCCAGTCTGTCCTGTAACGTAAAGATGATATTTTACTTCTTATTAATATAATAAAATTTGTAATTAGATAGTGTTTGTAATTTGAAATAATTAAGAAAAATTATTGTGGGGGTTTTAATCCGAGCTTTAGAAGCCAAGACAATATTGCAACATCACGTAAAAACTACTGCTCCAAATTGGATATGGTTTGGCAACCTCAGTTAGGTTTTGGTGATGTTTTAAGAGGGACGCTGCTGTCCATCCACCGCCCTGCTTTAGTCGCTTCTTACGACAACCACGGGATAGGATGGGGTGGCCTATTCTAGGTCAGGACCACACGGATAAATTATATATCTGTATATATAAAATCTGGTATGGTCATGTTTAATATTCTTATACCATCTGGAAATGATTTACAAGTATTTCATTAATTCAAAATTCACGCGTATAAAGTTGCGGGTAAAAGCTAGTTATACACACACGGTTTTTTTAATAAATGATAATGGAACGGTAACTCGGCCTGTGTTATCGGTATATGTTGGGAGAACATCAGTGAGGAATGATATGTGAGGATGAAAGCAGGTCAGTTGGCTCTTGGTCACGAATTCATCAAGAATTAACCACGATCGTTATATATATATATATAACGATATATATTATTTGCATTACATATATAATATAGAGAAGAAACAAGACAATACATGTAATATGGCAAACTAATTTATAATACCATATTTCATGACAAGTAATATCTAGTTGTTGTCTGTAGATATGAATAGATAATATAGGGGGATAATCTCAAGAAGAGGGCTATCGAATTCTAAAATTGAATCTCCATTAATTATGTACGTGAGGATTTATCTGTTTGTTTTTCTGCTTATTTTTTATAAATCATACAATGGATTTGACGGAAAATTATACAGTAATTTTTTTAAATTTTTGAATAAGGATTTATTAATTCTTATGGTTTTATAATAAATTGCACATTGTTGTTGTATAAAATAATCCAAATACATTATTAGTATAAATTAGACGCTTACTTGTATTTGGTGACTAGAGATTGCGTCCAACCTTCTTCGTAAACATCTCTCAGAGTGATCGTGAACCCAATACCGGCTATGTTCCGCGACCGCTTCACTTCCCTAGCGAAGTGTGGGTCAAATGGCGCAACACCCAGCTCCGGTATGCCTGTACGCAAACGTCAACGTATGTATATACTACACATACGTACATAGTACTAAACAATACGATTTTTCATTTTATTATTACCGACAAAATAAGAATGGCAATGTTTTTTAAATATATCGTAGGTATGATTATGATATGATGGTGTAGGTAAAATTTTATAAATATTAGAATTGGCAAAATTTTATTGATGTGTTTAAAAAAAAAACTGACGTTAATTATAATTCTACTTATACTGTATAATTATACTGTCGTAAGGTAAAACCAGTTATTTTGGTTTAAGAACTAAATTACTGAAACGATTTTATTAAAATTTCTATGGAACCAATCTGTAAGTATGTACATCGATTCAAATTAAAAAATAATTTTCCATATTTTTTTATTATTATTTTGAATATTTTAACATAAGCCTAATTTAAAATCTGAGTTTTTATATGACACATATAAATATTTAAATAAACATTATAACCGCGAAGCAGTTGTGTTTGCATGGCTGTGTTTCGGTTTGAAGGATGGGATATGGCGTGAATTTACTGGGTACAGAGGAATAACACCTGAGTCCTCAGGAATGGCAACGCATGGGGGTATCATGAGCGAAACAGTATACTCTGTTATGTCCATGGTACTGCTCATGTCTATAGGCGACGGTTACCACTTTCCATCAGGTGGTCCGTCAGCTTGTTTGCCATTCTAAGTTGTATAAAAAAAAAAAAAAACATTATAAAATAAATATACATAATCAAACAATGAAATATATTTTTTTAATCAAAAAATAAATTACATTAATAATTAGTCAAAGTAATATTTATGATCCGTACCCGACTCAAAGGTTTTCGAAATCGGTTTATACTTAACTGATGAATTTATAAGATAACAATTTAAAATACAATTGCATTGAGGACCTCCTTTTTTTTGCAGTCGGTTGATAGATAATGCATATAGGTTCTCGATTTAAAAACTGTATACAGTAGTTGAGTTCTTAAGAGCTTTAATTTTACCGAAGTTTACCGAAAACATTTATAAGAATATTTAAAATTTGTTCAGTACTTGTAATTGGTTTATTTAAAGCGTGTTTTTCCTAGTGAACTAAAATGTTATATAATAAAATAATTTGGACATAAATGTACTTTTTTATTAAATTCACTTTTTATGCAATATTCATACATTATTTAAACTTACCTACTTTGAAATACGGTCGTAATTTATTGAAGGCTCGTTTCATGCAAGTATCAAAATCAGGCGACTTTTTCCTGCATGCGGAGAATATTCTTTCTGAAAAAAAAAAAATGTTAATATGAATAACCACGAATGTCCTATAGGATTTATGTTTAGTAGTGAATAACTTAAGTATGTCGTGAAAAATGAATTGTCATTTTTTTCTATAGTCGCCTTCCAATGACAAATATACGATTGACCAAAGTTTATATAAAGAATGAGTGCATAAGAGTTGCTCCTATAGCGCCCTTTTAGTAAAAATACTTTGTGCTGCGCAGGGTGCCTTAGGATTTTTTTTTTGGTGAATGAAAATGGAATTGTAACCCCGCCTGCGGTAACGGGATACGCTGGCAGAACACCAGTGAAGGGTGATCGATGAGAATAAAAACAGGCCAGTTAGCCTATCATGATGAATTCATCAGGAATTAACTATAATATTTTCCAGGGGGAACCGGGAGGAGGTCGACCTGATTGGGTATATTGTTAGCAATGGGATTCTCAGTGTTCATTACTAACAATCCCTTTCCCCTTAGGTGCCTTAGGATTGGATCCTAAAAAAATGGTAAACGAATTTATCACTAGACCAATAAGAGCGTTCCAACGCTCTTAACAAACGCTTAACAAGCTTAACAAACTCTCAACATGCATGTTGTTAAAACCTTTTATATAGTCTATGAAATAAATGAAGTGACAAACAAACTGACAACACATCTATTGGAAAATATGGTAATGTAATGTAATGTAATGTAAGAAAGACTCTGTTTTCCGCACTTAGCCTCCCATTTGGGCCGTTGTGCGTGTGAGTCGTGGCTAGTACAGCCAACCTAGCTCCGCCCAGAAGCGCAGAAGCTTCCTGGGTTCTTCACAGGCTTCACGGAGCGACCTCACCGTTCCGAGGATTTCTAAACGTTGATGGGCCACAGCCTCACATTCCAGGATTACGTGAGCAGCCGTTTCTTCAGCGTCGAAACAGCCTCGACATAGAGGGCTGTCTGTGGCTCCTATTGTGTATAAATGTTTGTTTAATGGACAATGACCCGTTATTGTCCCTATCATTATTTTGAGGTTTTTTCTATCTAGATGTAATAAACGTTTTGATAGTCGTTGATTCAACGTAGGTACGGCCAATTTTGATTGTCTGCAATCAGTAGCCTGTATCCATCTTTGGTTTTGTATGTCAGCGGATCTTTGACGAATCCACATTCGAAATTGCGAGAACGGAAGAGGAAGAAGTGGATACGGGCCTACCACCCTCGTTCCTGAGCCTCTTCTAGCCAGTTCGTCTGCGGCATCGTTACCATAAGATCCACTGTGCCCTCTTATCCATTGGAGGATAACTCGGTTATTGGAAGATATCCTATCCAGTGAATGGTGGCATTCAATTATCAATTTGTTAAAATTTATAAAGTTAAAAAAGCTAGTCATAAAAATGTTTGTCTTGTTGTTTCGTAATGCTTTTAGTACTGCTGCGCTGTCAGATAAGAATCTAATGCTAAAACCATTTATTCCTAGCTTATGTACAGCTGCAGCAGCCTCGGTTATTGCAACACATTCGCATTGGAATATTGAGCTGTGTTCGCCAAGCGGTATGTGCACGTTTATATTCAGGTCTAAGGAAAAGACTCCGGCTCCTGAACCGTTCTCGGTTTTGGAGCCATCGGTGTATATGCGTAATTCATGTACACCGGATTGGTCCTTTTCCTCTTCTTGAATTTGTATTTGGTATTTTTTGTTAAATATATAATGATTATGAGTCCTGTCACACGGAGCCGCAATCAAAGGTTCATATTCGATTGCCTGGTTCAGAATAGAAGTGTGGGGACTGTAGTGATTTTTACCCCATAGATCCAGATGCATTAGTCGGATAGCGGCTAACGCCGCTTCCTGCTGTATGTGCAGGTCTAGGGGTGTTATGTTGAGGGCCAACTCTATTGCTGTTGTAGGAGCTGTTTTCATGCAGCCGCTGACAGAAGAGCAAAACAGTCTCTGAAAGCTTTTCAGTTTGGCGGCGGTGGTCGATAGTTTTGTCCTCGGCCACCAAACCAGTGCACCATAGACCAACATTGGCCTGATTACAGCTCTGTACAGCCATAGAGTTATTTTTGGCGAAAGACCCCATTTGTTTCCTAGCATCTTTTTGCACTGGTAGAATGCAATTGTGCTTTTGTTAAGTTTGTAGTCAAGATGTTTATTCCAAAGCAATTTACTGTCTAGTATTATGCCAAGGTACTTGACTTCTTCCTTAAGTTTCAGTTCCGTATTGAAGAGTTTTGGTAGTCTGTAAGGACATGTAACTCTTCTATTTGTGAACATGATTAATTCTGTTTTTGTAGGATTAACCGAGAGTTCATGCTGTGCGCACCATCTCTCAATTATTTCAAAAGCTACTCTCATGCGATCACACAGAGTACCTTCGAAGCTTCCTGTTAAAAGTACAGCTATATCATCCGCATAACCTACCGTGTAGAGGCTGTTATCGTTAAGCTCTATTATGAGCTCATTTACGACTATATTCCACAATAGTGGTGACAGTACACCGCCTTGTGGACAGCCCCTACCGACGATGGAAAATATGGTAATCGTCATCGGAAATTGTCGACAAGATAAGAATGACAACACGAATATTACAATATTCACATATTACAATATACATATTGGTTTTTTTATGCAACTTACAATGTCAAAAACTTAGATGGAGAGTGGCAACCGTCGCCTATAGACATGAGCAATACCATGGATATAACAGGGTATACTGTTTCGCCCATGATATTCTCTACGCGTTGCCATTCCTGAAGACTCAGATGTTATTTCTCTGTACCCTGTAAGTTCACTGCCACCCAATATGCTATTCTTCGACTGAAACACACCTATGCAAACACAACTGCTTCACGATAGATACACGAATAAGACAGAGGTGCCCAAGCAAACGACTTTTGTACAAAATCTCCCTCTGATAGACTTGTACAAATTTTTGTTTACTATTTCTGAAGTACTGAAGTGTAATCTCACTGCTATATACAACTCTTGATACAGAAGTAGTCATACAAGTATAGCTGCTTGATAATAAAAACACAAGTGAACTTCAGGTAGTATTTTAAGCATCATCAGTCGAGTGTACTGATGTGTGTGTTGTCACATCCATTTCGTTTTCGTCAGGTAAACAATGCGAGATGTCTCAGACTATTTGCACAACCATTACACTAGATATTGCGAAAAACTTGACATTTTGAATAATCAAAATATGTGGACATATCAAGAAGTTTATTATCAACTACTCGTAGCTTTCTGTCCGTTTTATAAACTAGATTTAAAAAGTAGGGAAAAAGATGAAAAAGGGCACTTTTAGACGGGGTTATAGTTTTTTTTATACAACTTAGAATGGCAAACAAGCTGACGGCCCACCTGATGGAAACTGGTAACCGTCGCCTATAGACATGAGCAGTATCATGGACATAACAGAGTATACTGTTTCGCCCATGATACCCCCTTGCGTTGCCATTCCTGAGGGCTCAGGTGTTATTCCTCCATACCCAGTAAATTCACGCCATATCCCACCCTTCAAACCGAAACACAGCCATGCAAACACAACTGCTTCATGGTAGAAACACTAATGGGACAAAGTTACCCAAGCAATCGACTTTTCTACAAAGTCTCCCTCTGGTAAGTTAGACTTAGGAAAACAACTGTGAAAACGAATCATTAAAAACAATTACAACTGTGAAAAACAACCAATTACATCCAATTTGGTGCTCCCGGAACAAACACATAGATGGACAAAATTTCAAGAAAACATTGTTTTTCTTTATTGCCCTTATTAAGATCTCTTATATCAATTTTTCTTAAATATGTTTCATATAAAGACATCGTCTAATTACAATTTTACTAGTAAATATTAGTAAGATACCTACGATGTAATGGAATTTTTGCGATTGTTTGAATATTAAATAAAATCATAATTCATTCTAAAAATAAAAAATAAAAGTTAATTTACAGACGAAGAAGTTTCAGTGATGATTTTTAAGTGCTACACAATACACAATCGTAATAGTCACTTGATTCTCAATCTGTGTTATGAGGAATCAAGCAGTAAATATAATACTCGTATATGGGCGGTACGACATAGAACATCCAAATTTGAGCCAATTTACATAAGTTGGTTTCTTTATATAATATATAGTTAAAGTTTGTGGGATATTTAGTATAAATATTTTATTAGATTTATATAATTACCAACTTTTACAATACCTTTCTTATTGTTCGCCAACGCTATATATGTATAAAGAATCTTTTTACAAAGTTTCAAGATTCTAAATTCAGCAGTTTCGGCTGTGCGTTGATATATAGGTCACTCAATTAACATTTTTTTATACACACACATACACACACACACACACACACACACACACACACACACATATATATATATATGTTATATATATAATTGTTTGTACTATTTCATTAGTAAATAAATAGCATCATAGATTTTTTTTATGAAGATAGCGTCCTTATTTAAAAAAATTGGTTCGTACTTTACTGATATCATTACGATATTTCAGCAATGAGGTTGAGATAGAATATTAGATATTATTAAGTCCATAAATTATATGTATATACCAATTATTACACAATGTCATATTTAGCTAAACTTCATTATATAACAAATTATATTCAAGTGGCCGGTAATCGAACCAGGTCACGGAGACTACATTGTCTGTTTGTAGTCTAATGTTAATTACCTACTAGTCTAATTTAAGATATTATAAGTAGTTAGATATTTATTTAAAGTAATAGAAATGTAATTATTTTATAAATAATCAGCGATTTGGTTCAGTTTCACATGGGTAGATAGAATTTAAATCACAAATAATATGTAACCTATATGTCTCGATGGTAATATAGCTATGTAGATGAATGAATTTTTAAAATCGGTTATAGATATAATAGATTTAATATAAGTGCGTTTATTAATTTTAGTTATTAATGATAATTACTTTAATCAGCTTAAAACTTGAAACTTTAATAATTATTAAATGTGAAAATGAGTTTGTTTGTTTGTTAGCTTTTAAACTCTTGGCGTTGCCATGAAAGATAGTATTAAGCATGGAGAAGAACAAATAAAAAAAATGCGGGATATTTACGAGATTTTTATACAGGGTGAAGTTAAAATCTTTAGCATCTTTTGAGGGAAGGATTTTACTATTGAAACTGCACCTTTTCAATAAAGTAACATAGGTCGAAATACGACAAAAATTTGGAGGCAAAACGTTTGCCAGGTCAGCTAGTAGATTTAAATTATTAGTTATATATTTTGTAATACAAATTTGATATTTTTGGTATATATGGAATATGTTAAGAGAAATATATATAAATAAAAAAATGTATAATACTAAAATGGAAATTAGGAATACTCACTTATTTCCGAAACTTCATTCTGTGTTTCCGACAAATGTAAACAGCACATCACTATGGCACATACTTGAATAATATTTAATTCTCGCATCGTTCAAATCGATGTTCATAAACAAAATTGAAAGTAAAATATTTACAAACAAAACTGTCAAAAAACACCCCGCAGGATAGTAACAACAAATAATGACCGGCGGTTTACTGTAATGCTTTTAAAAATGGATCTTACTGAACTGAAATAGAATAAAAAATACTATCTCACTGTATGGTTTACGCTTTACTTATTTTGTGTAAGATGAATAGAAACTAATAAAGTTGTAGTGATAAAAGTAAGATATAAATATTATTAGCTTATAAACTGAATGGGACTAGTAAATTCATATGATAGACTGTGGTCGTCGGTCTTTCTGCGGACCGGCAAATGTCTGCGAAAGCGCATATCCCTACCAAATTATTACGAAATACTTATTTGCCATAGATCTAAACTTTGCTTAGATGAGATTCAAATTTATCCTTTCCAATAAATGTAACGTTAGTTTTTATTAAAATATGTGACTGTAATTTTGTGTGACAAAGATGTGTACTAGGTATATTCATATAGTAAATATATTATACTAATAAAATTATATTTATATTCATATTTCCATACAAAAGTTTGGATAAAGTAAGTTAGATAAAGTAAGAAAGTAGAGCTATAATAATTTATTGAAAATATGAAAGTCTTCTGAATGTATAAACAATATATTTTTACTTTATAAGAATGTTTCAGCATATTTCACAATTAATTGGGCTGAATAAATATTATTTTTCATGTGTAATTGTGTATCTTGAGTTTTTTATATAAAATTGCTTAAGTATCTGTGATGTGAGATGCATCAGCATCGGCATATCGGAAGCTCTTAGTGATAACAAAGTTTTTTTAAAGTTTTCGAAGAATCAAATTGATGATTTTCAATTAAAATATTCGAAACAGTTTCGAAAACTTTTAAACCGGAATAGAATCCGGAATAAGGGTGTCTGTTAAAAGCGAAAGTGACTGATACAGCCCGAAGGACAGGCAATGCAAGAAAAAAGATTTTTTTTTTAATATAACAAAGATTCTGAACTGATAATCAGGAGCAAGTGTATCGCCTATACTACAGACTCAAATACTATAAATATTACAGAATACAGTGTGAAGTCGATCGAAGATTTCCTTAAGAATGGTAACGCATGAGAAGTACCTCACTCATAAGGTCTATCGTAACGCTTCTGTATTCTGAAACATGAAATTGTAATAGGTGAGTATGCAATTCATATAATCATAGGCAAAATAATAAATACTACTTAGGTGTAACACGTATTTTTTATGACACAATCATTATTTTTGCAACCGTATGACATCTATCTGGTATGTTATGTTGAAATTATGATAATACAAATGAATGTATATAATTATGTAAAATTGTATTAGAATCAATGATATAATAATAAAAAATGTAGGTGTATGTTACAAATGCGAAGAAACTTGGTCATGACGCTAAATTAGCGCCTCTGCAACATTTGCATATACTGTCTTGTAAATGTCAAACTTACTTCTTTTATCGCTACACTATGCCTAAGTGTGCTCTGTTCTATGTCACTTGTTAAAAATTCGCCTTTCGTGTAACTTTCTTCTTTTAACGGATCAGTAAGCTTTTCGGACATATATTTTTCGTTTGATGTTTCTTTATGCCGTCTTGCCGTTAGAACATCCGTATGCTTAATATTTAAATGAATCTGTTCTGACAATTCTGGCTATGGTAACCGCTTCAATGACTCTTTCGCCGTGCCTGGGTTCTAATATAACTCGCATAGCTCAGCTTGATTATAAAGGAGCGCATGCACTTTGGGCATGTAAGGAATTTGTTGTTGTAAATATTACTCTCGATAGTCATTAGCGATTGAGCTTTCAATACATCGCGTCTCGTAACCAGCTGAGCGCATCGGTGGGATTCAAATCCTCGTATCTTGTATTTCAATATTTATGCAATAAAAACATAAACTAAAAATATCTGTGATGCCCATAATGTTGTTCATGTCTACAGGAAAAGGTTGCCACTTTTCCGTAAGCTGTCAGCTTGTTGCCATTTTAAGTATTAAAAAAATATGGATATTGATTATGGATATAATGTATTTGTAATTCTTTTCCATTTATGTGCAGTTTTTGTACATTGCTATTAATCATTAACTCGGTCCATTGCATGTGTTAGCCTTCAATGTATCTTGAATGTATGACGAAATGTAATCTTAAGCATCAGCGCCATTGATTCTATTTCGAGGCATATTACATAACGAAATGGCATCGTGGCAGTAGGTTGAGTAATGGAGTAACATCATTTTGTGAATAGCTCTTATACGCATTTCGGTTGCAGTGTAAAGAAAAGATTGCGCTGACTTCTTGCGCGTCTGAAGTAAGATTTTACAAGTAGTTCCTAACGAGTATGCCACACAATTATTCGAGCTTCAAAATAAATTTCTTGGGAAATGGGAAAAAGTAATAAAGGTCAAATAGGCGAAAGGGGGTTTGCTATCAATAAATAATTGTAACATTTGTCTTTGGCAAATGCATTATATGTCAAGCAACATTAAAAAAAACTTTTGTAACATCAAGGCAAGTAGATTTTTTTTTTAATGGATGATAATGGAATGGTAAACCCGTCTGCGCTATCAATATACGCTGGCGAGATACCAGTGAGGAATGATGGGTGAGAATGAAAAGGCAGGTCTGTTAGCCTGATTCAGCACGAAACTGTTTAGGGGAGACTACGTGGAGATCGACTTGGCAGGGTTTATTACTAGTCCTGGAGTTGGTAGTCCGCATTACTAACAATCCCTTCCCCCCTAGGCAAGTAGATTAGTACTGAACACAAGTTTAGTTCTTAAATCTAAAATCGAGGTATTTGCGACGTCTACTTTTATCTACATTTATGAACAGAATAGGTAGATAGGATTCCAGGACAAAAGAAAAAAATATTTATATATAAAAAAAGTGGTTTATATATACACAACGAAAATAATTTTACCACTCACCTATATTACCCAGGTCAGATAAAATCTAAATAGAACTCTGCTAATCATGAATCCATTAATCACAAAAAAATAAGGCTACTCGAAGTGCTGGAATATATTGAAATAGTTTCCAGTTCTAATTAACTGACAAAACATGACCTGACCCATTACTGCCACTACTTATTGTATAAATCGAATTAAAATCATTGCAGCACTGCCATTGTAACATTAAAAACATTCTATTTGGATGAACATATTTTGACTTTTCCATATTAAAATCCTAAATCTATGCTCCGGACAGCATGACTAAACTCTGCTTCTCTCCCGAGGTGACTTCATTCCTTCGTTGATCTAAATATGGTCAGTTAAAAACAGAATATATTGCCCTTTCAACAATATTTATGCAAATAAATTATTATTTTGTTCTATTTTTTGTATATAGGTACCTAAACAGTATGAATATGTTTAGGTAGTAGTACAGCCATATATTATGATGTTTTTATATGAACTGTTCGGGGTGTTAGTTAATAATAAAAAAAAAAAATATATTTATTATATTTTAATTTAATTTTACAATTTGTTATTAAATTAATACTTAATCTAAATACTATGAGCTACATAATACAGTTTAGACCAAAAAATATTATCTAAATAAATACCTATCTCAGAAAATTAAAAAAGTTTCAGCAAACGATCAATTCTCATTTCTTCTAATATATTTAATATCACTGGGTTTAAATTATTAATGATTATGTTTTATCTAGAAAAGTGTAAAGAATTGCTTCAAAAACGATTGTTTGTACTCAAATGGTACTTCAATTCTACTTATAATATTATAAAAAAAAATTAAGTCAAGAGACAAATGAGAAAGTTAATAGTTAAAAACTTCCTTAGTCATGTAGGTTTTAAGGATGTCAGTTAAAAAGTTTAATTGTCTATGATTTTGTTCAAGTTGCTTGATGCTTCCCCATAAGAACTTCGTCATTAAATTATAGTTAATGTTCTTGTCTCGCTCTAACGCAAGCTACTAGGTCGTATGTTGACTGTGTGCGTGCTACTTGTAAATAGAACATTCCGATCGTCCAAACTAGTACGCGAGTACACAAAAATTACCTAATATCTCGGATCGTTCTTTTGCAAACAATGCAAACTTAATCATATGCTCTTACTGTTTCGAAATATAATTAGATATTTGAACAATAGATCAAACACTAATCTGTCATCAACATTTTGTGTTTTAATCATCGATTACAATACTATAAAAGTATATTTCTATAATATCACTAGCACCAATATACTTAGAGCTCAAAATTAGAGATTGTCAAGTTAGTCCACGATCCAATCGTCGTAAGGTACTTTCTCTAGGATCCTTTCTAAGAACCGTGACATTTTGTCGGCTAGATCTCTCTTCAGTTCCGGCTTCATCTCTTTCAGCAGTTCTTGTGCGTTGGTGTTGATGAACAGGTTTAATGCTGCCTCTGTAGATAAAAAAACGTTATGAGCACTCTTCAACTGAACAAAAGAGGAGGTTCTATGTTCGATTGTATATTTTTTTTTATTGAATTAGGTATTATTTTGTGGAAGCCCACATCACTAATTAGTTGATGTGAATTATTTTGTTTAATTTTGATACCATTAGTGTTATTTTCTACAAACATTTTTCAATGAATTTTATTACTATAAAATTTCAACCAATAAGAATTTTTTTTGCAAAAAATTGTGAAAAATTTGGTCATGCTACATGACTATTTTAGTTTTAAGACCGGGTTGTGGCAGTGAATTTCGGAGGCAGGTATAAGACCATAATCCTCAGAAACATCACGTATGGTATCACTGGCATTGTATTGTGTGATATTTATAGTGCAGTATTACATTTTCTATGTTCATGGCGCTGTAATGTCTTCAGGCGGTTATTACCACGTATAACTTTAAAAAGAAGATTTTTTAGTTATTTTTATAGAACAAAGCTGACAAATAAAATTAATGTGATTCATAAGATATTAAACAATGACTGTAGAAGCCTATTATACCAGAAAAGTCAGATTCATGACAAATAAAATATATGTGATTCATTCGATGTTAAACAATTACTGTAGACGCCTGTTGTACCAGAAATGTCAGGCATGAGAGAATACGTCAACGACGTTATATATATATATATATATATATATATATATATATATATATATATATATATATATATATATATATATATATATATATATATATACAGAAACATGGACGGACACTCGCTTATTTTTGTATATGTGGTTAAAAATACAATTTTGGGAAAAGATTAATATTCAATATACTTACGTAGAACAGAGTTACTATTCTGTAGGTTCTCGACGCCCATCTGTATGTCTCTAACAGAGAAGTCAAGCTTTAGCTGTCGCAGCTGCAGGTAGGTACGGCCTCCGCGCGTGTACGGCGCTCCGCGGAAGTACACCTTCGCTTTCACGCCATCTGGTGAGCGTACCATTAACACATTGTAGGTATTTAATAAAAAAAATAAAATGGTTTATTAGTAAAAACGGCTCGGGAAATTATTTTTTTGTCAAAATTGTTCATATTGAAATGCATCCGTTAACCCGAGGCGTGTCTTTTGCGTGGATATATATAGATTACTTAATTTTTTCATTATTTTTTAGTGGCATGGTTGGGGTATATTGATTGGTCGTGACAGAAAGTAGCTTGTCTTCCATTCTTAATATTATAAGTATGCCAAATTTCATGGCCATTAGTTGAGTGTTAAAAGCGTCAAGAGGTAACAAAAAATTAACTTACTTTTACATTTATGCGGGTAAAAGTAAGTATTTCATAAAATGTAGTTTCACTGTCTTTGTAGTTGAGTCAAATACACTGGTTAAATTATATTTGAAGACAGTTGGTGTTCTAGAACTGACCGTATTCGCCCCAGTAGTCACCGCCACCAGAAGCCCTCACCAACAGCAGCACGCCAGAGGAACGGTAGCGGGCACGAGCACTGATGTGGGGCCCGAACAGCGTCATTTGGAACTGGTGTGTCTCCAAATCTGATCTGAGATGGAGTAGGAAAGCAATAAATATATAAGTGCTACATAATCACACCAATCGTCTAATCCAGAGGGAGACATTGCACAAAAGTCGTTTGCTTGTGCACATCTGTGCCATTCATGTTTCTACCGTGAAGCAGTTATGTTTGTATGGCTGTGTTTCGGTATAAAGGGTGGGATATGGCAGTGAATTTACAAACATTGATAGAGGAATAACACCTGAGTCCTCAGGAATGGCAGCCTATCATAGGCGAAATAGTATACTATGGCATATTCATGGTACTGCTCATGTCTATAGACGACGGTTATCACTTTTCACCAGGTGGGCTGTTAGCTTGTTTGCCATTCTAAGTTGCATAAAAACAATTTAAAAAAAATCTCCTCAAACTAGGATACCCTGCCTTATGAGGAAATAGAAGAGAACTCAGAACACCCAGATTCAGAATTATCAAGTGTTTGTCAAATGTCAAAACCATAATAGTAATCTAGCTTGTAAACAGTCTTGTTTTTATTTACTTATGCCAAATAAGTTTATAGCCATTGACAAATTGGTCAATTGAATCAATTTAGTCTTTGCGATACACGCTTTACTTCTGTACATTATACCTAAATATACGTTATTAAAAATATCCTAAAATAACATTTTTACTGACATAAATTATTTACCGAAAAGGATTAACTATACGTTTATTAACATAAGGTGTTCTATATTCAAAATTCATTTTTAATAGTAAAGGTGGTACTGCTTTTGCTAGTCGGAATCCAATTAAAAGATTTATCAATGTCAGATATTAATACATATTAATAAAACGCTATAGTTTTAGACGTTCTGGTTTGTTATATGACATGCTAACAATTAATCAAATGTAAAACTCACCTAAGTGTAGCAAATAAGAAAATAATAATTATATATAGTTAGATATAAATTATCTGATTCATATCAATATAGCTAAATATAGAATTAATTTTATTATAAAGATTTATTTTGTAATAACTTTGTAATGACTGTTATATATCAGTAATGATAAAGTGTGTGAAACCAACTTTTGTAATATTACCATATCACCTTGTTGTAATAATTTTTTAGCAACAAATTTCATTCATTTGTATGAAATCCTTACGAAACAAAATATATCAATAAAAAAATTAAAACAGTGCTAATTCGAAAGTGTGTGAAAACAATAACCTTGAGTTTTTTTAGCTATGATGATGAAACAAAATATATCAGTATATATATATATATATATATATATATATATATATATATATATATATATATATATATATATATATATATATATAATCATGTTGGCTATAAAGCCTATTATAAGCATTTAAATACAAGACATTAGGTACGAATTGTAAATTGTTAATTTTTTTAATAGACAAAAGATCTCTTACAATTTAAATTATTATTACATTTACAATATCACGTAGATTTATTCTGAACGGCTTTTCCAATCTGCTATTTGTATTTGCAAGTACATAATTACGTCAACTACAGCTAAACTAAGTTATTTTAAAGAAAATATAAAATGTTTTTTCTATTTATATTTTTACAATTAAATATATATTTCAACTTCACAAAGAACAAAATGGAAATTTTGTGGTTTTAACATCGATCATATAAATACTTCCAAGAATATGACGCTAAATATTCCCTCCTCATATTTGCACTTGGAAATGTTCAATAAATATTCACAATGGGACTCACTTATCTCTTTGTACCAATGATGTGACTCATAGAATGGCAAGAGACTTATTTTTTTTTATTTATGTTATTTGTACTTTATTGTATGAACGCGAAAAGGAGATACAGAAAAATTGAGATGAAAATTATATTAATAAAAAACGAGTTTAAACATATGATAGTTTTCTTACAAGTAACCTGCAAAGAATAAGGTAAATAGGTAAAAGTAATTATTTGTCGTAAGTAATATAAAATCAATTCTATGTATACATTATGTGAAAATAATTATTCATTAGGAAAAGCTGTAATGTTTGATAGCACTATCATGTAATAAATTTTGTCCCATAAAAACACATCGGCTTAAATCGTGAAAAACCATTAGTTATTTTAAAAAAAACGAACTATAAAATCTATTTTGACGAATTTCTATGAGCTAAATTTGAAAGAATTAAATTAATTCCTCTGAAATAAAAAAAAAAAAATTAAAATCGGTTTATAAATGATAGAATTCTGAACTAACAAACATAAAATATAACCGAATTTAGAATCTCCTTTTTTCTTTGAAGTTGATTAATAATAAACAAATTTTTTTTCTTTATTATTCTTGTAGGCATGCATATCATATGTGACGAGTTACTCATAAAAATATGAGTGCTTGCTACTTTTGTAAGTATGACCCTGGTCGTAAAATTACAAAGCTGTTAGTCGGCATATACAAAAGAGTGTGTCATTGTACTTGTTCATTGCGACGTGCAATGAATATATTATAACCACAAAGAATTACTTATCTTATCACGTGTGCTACGGAATCTAACGGCATCAAAATATAATAAAAATGTTATTAAATTCCAATCGATGACTTGTCAATTTCAATGGGAGTGAAAGGGTATTGACTTTACGTCGTTTAGGCTGAACAATAAGTACTTTGTATTCTTAAAGTTTCCTTCTCGTCATCTTTTATAATGAATAATGGGTTTATTAGTTGCTAGTTCACATAATTTCTATTTAATAATTTTAGAATCTACTAGGGAATATCAGTTTTTCAATTGTGTGAAAATCAGTAATATTCCTTGGCCGTGGGAATTTTGCGCACTTCTTTTTAAAAGGTAATGAATAATATTAAACATTATTACACAGGAATTAATTACTAATGGAATTTGAAGAAAACTTAAAACTTTTTAGGTAATTTTGTCTGTGCATGGATATCTAATTCAGCTTATTTAAATCAATTTACGTAGTATTTGTTGTGATCTCTGATTACTGAAACTCATTAATTAAAACTTCAGCTATATAGGATATCCTCAGACCCATACGATAAAATTAGTTATTTTAAGTAATACCTAAATAACTTGATGACTTTGTTTGCTTGTTGTGGGATACCTAGAAGTTGAGTTTTATGGTTGGTTTTTTATGGGATAAAAATTGTATGGTACTACCTTCGCTATTGGTATACACTGGCGGGGTACCTATGAAATAAATTCATTCTACCATTTTATTTTAGACATCGTTAGAGTGATAGCGATTGTAGATATGAAATAGTTTGGTAGCGATTATCACTTGTCTAAGCCTGCAGGTAAGTTGGATCATCACAACGATTCAATTCATTTCATCATGAATTCATCAATAATTAATCATGATGGTTTTCGGGTGGAATGCAAGCCCCATTGTTAATAAATTAGCTGACAGAGTATTTTGCAAGCAAGGGGCTACCTTCTGAATTCTATATCGTTATATTTTATGTTACTCTAAATGCGCACATATGTTTAAATATATCGGTGTGAAAGGGGGAAGACAAGATTGTAACTAAACCTCGTACCTCACATTAGTGATGGTCATGTTGGTGGCACCAGTGGCGTGGATGTCCTTGAAGGTGGCGCGGTAACCATCAGGTCCGTTGCCCAGTGCAATCGATAACTCATCAATTACTATTGGTTCAGACTGTAAAAAAAAAGTGATTTGAAAATATGGCGATTACGATCATGATAGAATTAATTTTGAATAATCTCACAATAGTGTTTTATTACGTTTATTATAAAAAAAAAATATAACTGAATTGGGAAACTCCTTCTTTTTGAAGTTGGTTGAAAATTTAAATAAAAAAGGGTACTTAATGCAATGTAAATTGGACTCACATTTCCCACTCAGCCTCTCATTTGGGCCGTTATATGTATAAAAAAGGGGTAACAAAACATTTTTTGTAGTAAACTGACACGGCGTGTCTTGCTACGAAATTAATATGATTGATTTATTTTTTTATAACTAATTTGATTTATTGTTTATTGATCTATGTTTTTTTTAGGGGAAAAAATTTATTTGCACATTATGCATCAATATTCTATGTATTACATATAACGCCGTATAGTCCCGGCATAAAATTGGCCACCCCTTTTTTTTCGTGGGTGTCGTAAGAGGCGACTATGGGAACTTAATGGTCGAGAGATGGGCAGTAGCGTCCTTCTTAAAACGTCACCAAATCCTAACTGCGGTTGCCAACACATTGGCATTTGGCTGATTTGACGATGATGATTCTATGTATACATGCGTTTTGTGGCCAATAAAGTTTGTTGAGTTATGTTATGATTCTGATTTCACCCAGTACACTAGGATTAAATATTACCTCTTCGATATCGAGCTCGGGTGCTCCTCCCTTCATGTATTCCATGAGGCTGTTGAAGCTGCGCAAAAGACACGCGTCCACGTTAGGGTCTCTCCGGGAACACCTGCCACCGAACATATCTGCAAATGGAAAACATAAATTGAATATTTGAAATAGGAACCAGTAATAGTTATAACTATTCTATTACTCAAACGTTATATTTTGTTTCACAAAAAAATCAATGACTTTTCCGGATAAAATACGAATGAACATTTAGATGGTCTGTAGATAGATTAGTTTGGAATACGCTCGGCGAAAAGTGGGCATGTCAAGTTTTAGGTACACCACAATGGTATTACAACAAATGCCTCTGTCTACCCCAACTGGGATTGTAGCTGTTTTAATATTTATTTTATTTAAAGGTTTGAAAGGATCTAAATTTAGATTGCGGAGTCGTGGGTCCATTGCCGTATTCATGTGCTTCGTTCCCGTTATCTATACTTATAATAAATCTGTAGAGAGGTCAATTCTGTACATGAAATATATTTCTAAAATAACTATCATATAATTGATACTGATGCTAAAAATGCAATCAGTAAAATTTTTGTCTATCTGTCTGTATGTTAGTTATAGAAACAAAAATTACTCGGCGGATTTTAACGAAACTTGTTACAATTATTCTTCATACTCCTGGGCAGGTTTTAGTATACTTTTCATAACGCTATCAATAGGAGCAGAGCAGTGAAGGGAAATGTTAAAAATGTCCACCCGTGCGATGCCGGGACGGGCCGTTAGTCGCGAATAAACCATTATTTCAGCCGTCAACTGTCCACTATTAAACATAAGCCTTATCCATAAAGAGAATTTTACCAGTTGTTGTCATGCTTAGCGGGTTGGCAATCTCTTTATATCTAGACACAGATAATATAATACTATACTAGTAATCTGGAATAAATATAGTGGTTTAGTTATTCAAAATCTCCTAAATCAAACAAACCCAGTAACATACATCTGTCAAGAGTTATATAGAGAGAAGATTCGCTTTTGTTTTTAAGACAATATTCTAATTCTTTTTTCAGTTGTTCGCATTCCTGGACCATATTTTACCTATTTTCGGTCACAATGTCGTGCTATATTAAAAAACCCAAACTTTCACATTTAAAAATTTATATAGTTACGAATATGAGATTGCAAAAAAAAAAAATAAGTGCAATATAATACCAAAACACGACAAAACTAGTCATAATCTACCGGCTATAAATAACCAAGCAGCTGACACATCTTTACCAAAATTAACAGCTTTCATCGGCACGCCTACGGAACCAATATTAGTATGCAAGTTGTGTCTACATAACGGTCATCACTGTCACAGCGACATTGACACTTTAGATAGTGAAGACAATGTGCACATTATTGAAACAATGGTACGGAATGGTCCTTGAGTTTATAATAGATCGTGTGATATAGCTTATTTTTGTACGCGTGAAACAATAGTTGAAAGTGGAAGCTTATGGTTGCTGGCCAATATGATACTATTTCCGGAGTATTATCTTTTATTCCAGCAGTGGACATTAAGTACTGAAATAATGATGAGATCTTTTATTTAGTATTCTAGACTGGTAGCGTTATTGTCCATATTTAGGTATAGCTCCAAAATTCGTAAGTCATAATCTGGTCTATACCTAATTTGTATGTCAATCTAGAGTCGACTCTCTGGTTAGGCGAAATGTGGGCTTTTTCTTGAGTGTTCACACATAACGGTCTCAGTCGATAAATATAACGCATAAGAGACTGCAGTCGTAAGGATATTTGTTTTAATTTCGTTTTATTACCGTCAAGTAGTTCCTATCATTATATGCAAGATTAGCTGTATCCTGTGGATTCACCCGCAGCCAATATATGAATTATCTGCTAGTAGTAGTTAGGATATAACCTGTGTACTAAATTTCATTCAAATTAGTTCATTAGTTTTGCGCGAAAGAATAATAAATATCCACCCATCCATAGTTACAAACTTTCGCATTTATAATATTAATAGGATTAACTTTAGGTTTGAAACATATACTTATTAAATATATATAATATAAATAATTCTTAACGTAATTATTAGCGCAGTAGCACAGTTAAAATAATACTGTGTACAGTATGCATGTTGTTTTACGTAGATGGGATTTTATATGTTGGATTTTCAGCCAGGCAAAAGTAGGAATTAACATTTCTAAGTTTATCTTGAGTTGGTGCTTATATATCATTTATTGATAAACTGAAAAACGTATCTATCTGTATGCGACGTTCATGAAAATAAACATTTGTATGAAAACTAAGGCGATTGAATAATGGTATACTATTTTTAGAACATGGTATTATATGAAACAACTTATGTTATTATACGAACCAAACATATTACTTTCTAATGTGACCCCACCTACTGAGCTGATTATCGTGATAAGAGATAAAATTAAACTGGTACTAAAGTACCCAAAAAATTAAGTAATCGATTCATGTGACAGAAGAAAATATAATAGAAAATAATAATAAATACCTTCATATACATATAACATATACCTTCTGACATTTGTACTGACATAAGTAAAGCGGAATTTGAGACTTCGTTATAACTAAAGAAAAATTTTCATACCTAATTTTTCTTTTAATTTAATGGCAGTTCTTTTCTTTTAATTTTAAACTAACAAAACACGCATTTAACAAAATTGGTAAACTCTATTGATTGAAAATTAATTATTCAAATTATTTATTTATACACATTTTATTGACCAATAAAATGTGCAAAATGCAAAGGTGAAATTTAAATTAAATTAGTTCAAATTGGGGGATATATCAAAATAAAGTAGAACCGACAACTTTTCCTTTTTGAAGTCGGCTAATAAGAATATAAGTATTATTTTTTCCATATATGTCGAAGTCGATATTTATTCAAAACTGCAATGCAAAAGTATGACTGTTGCATTAAAGCGGATGTTACAGTCAATGACACTTTCTCCCAGTCGACCATACTATCTACTAGAAAAGTAAGTGATACATTGATGCAACGAAAGAAATGTATTTTTGTAATTCCTTCTTTATAAACACGTAAATTATGATGTATTAATGTAATCAATAAAGTAATTACAAAAAGAATTATCAAAATCGGTTCAGAAATAACGAAATTATCGCGCAATATAAGCTCATATAAAAATACTGATAAAAAGATTTGCTTTATGGAAGTAGCAGAAATGAATATGAAGGTAGTATACAAAAAACAATAAACTCGTTAAGTTAGGGCAGGTCATAGGATTTACTATTGCTCTATATACGTACATGTTAAATACGACTTGATATAGTTCAGTAAAACCGGTTTAAAAAACTATTACCTATGTGCAGCAGGTGATGAGGTCGATGACCGCGGGACCTTGTCTGCGAACCTCGATCTATCTCGCGAAACCGTTTGTTGTCCGTCTTCTAACTACAGTTAATTTGCTACTAGTCGATTGATTGAATCTCAATTTTTTTTTAATGGGTGAATATTAAATAGTAACTTTGCCTGCGCTGTCAGTATACACTGGCGAGGCACCAATGAGAGATGATAGGTGAGGATGAAGCAGGTCAGTAGGCCTTTCGTGACGAATTCAACAATTACTAACTATGGTGGTTTCCAAGGGGAACTGCATTGAGGTCAATCTGATAGGTACTTGTAGTGGGGTTTTTATACACCATAATCTCTTTCCGGATAGAGACGGGATTGGTAGTAATGAGAATTAGTAATCCCATTGCTAGTAATATACTCTATTAGGTCGTCAATGTATACCGATAGCGCAGGCGAGGGTTACCATTCCATTATCATTCATTAAAAAAAATCTCCCATTTCTTGCTGGAACTCTATTTAGAGGGTTACTTTTGAATTAAACAAATGAGGTTCAAAAGCTCCAAGTCAAATCAAATCAAACTTTATTTAAGTAGGCTTATATAGAAGATCTTTTAAATTGGTGATACTATTGTATCTAAATGTAAATTATCTGAGATTTTTTTAATTGGAGACTCCCAATAGAATAATGCTTATATAAACTGTCTAAGACAGAGAGAGAAAGGGATTGTTAGTAAAGAGAATAATGGCCTTAGTGTTACTAATATACTCGATTATCTGTTAGATCATTGTGATTAATTTCTGGTAAATGTCACATGCTGCGTCAACTGTTTTCGTTTCAGCTACATATCATCTCTACTGGTACCTTGTCAGTCCAAGGGATTATTCCCATAGTTATCATTCCATTTTCATTCATTTGAAACAAAATCTTAAGTCAAATTACATCAGATTTACCATGAGCGTCATAGTGTAAGCTGTAATGTCATAATGCTATTTAAGTCTATAATTGACAGATACCGTATTCCATCAGATGGATCGTCTGCTTGATTGCCATTCCTAGTTGCATATAAATATTGACTTTTGGTCTCAGCGCAAAAAATATAATTGAACTTTGATTAAAAAGGTTCATTTGAATAAAGATGTTCATACGTTCTCCAAGTTTAGAGTAAACCTTGTCCCACTAGTGGACCGTATAAGGTTGATATTAATACCTATATGGTAATTAGACATAATCGAGGAACTTGCGACCCCGTCCTCAATTAAAATAAGTAGACCTAATAGTGACACAGTCGCGTGTAGATAATATACGTGATTTGGCTCTACTGACTATTTGGTATCGATAATGTAGGCATAGCGTTGATTGTCTATAATTGGGACATCCGATTTTAGTTTTAAATTTTTCAATTACCTCAGAGTATGTTTTAGCGTTTACGTGTAATTATAACTAAGTAAATTACAAAGCTATCTGTAAAATGAATTAAGATATAGATAGAGCGATGTATACCAAAAGATGTTCCTAAAAATGATCAACTATGGAATGATATATATACCAGGGATGATTTAGATTAACCTATAGTTAGAATGTGTGCTGTATAGTTAGGAGTCAAGAGCATTGAAACCGGTATTCAAGCGAGAGAGAAGTTATGAAAGTGAACAAAGTAAAAGATGCATGCAAGGGCCTAAGTTTTCGGTTCTCTTAATCTACCCCGCATGGGAGTTAATGCGAAAGATAATGAATCGTAACACTTGTATTTTTGTTTCATTATGAATACCAGTAAT